ACAATTTTGTCCCGTACATGCCTCAACGAGGAAACGAAGGAAAATATTCCCGAGGTCTCCGAGTCGTCTCCCCCCTCCTCCATCCACTCCTCCTCTCTCGATTCCGAGCCGAAATTAATCGACTCTTCCCCGAGAGAAGAGGCAGACGAAGTCGGAAGGGGACGCCCGAAGGCCTGGGCCTTCGCATCCCCGGGCTGCACCCGGCCCGAAGCCGAGTCCCGGTCCCGAGGTGCCGGGGGTTCAAGGGAACCCACCTGGCTCTGGGCTAGAAATCCGCTAGAGGAAGCCTCGGCCTCGGAAGAGGCGTCTGGCTCCGCTAGGGAGAACTGTGCGTCGGTAGTGAACGGGCCAGTGCCCGCCACCCCTCCGCTGGGGAGCGACCTCGAGCCGGCGCCGAAGCCCGGTCTGAGTTCGTCCCCGAGACCAAGTGGCCTGCCTCGGCCGACGCCGGGCATATCACAAGGTCTCGAAGCCGCGTCCGGCGCCGACAACGGGGAAGGCTCGGTCCGCAACTCCTCTCGGAGCTGAGACTTTACCTCCTCCATCATCGACGCCATCTGCGACCTCAACAAGGCAGAGATGTCTGCCAAAGACGGTGCAGGAGAGGGTGCAGTGATTGTGACGGGGACCCTAGAGCCTTCTCCCCCGGCCCCCGGGGAGGGAGCGGAGGAGACAGTCTCAGCTGCCTTTTTACCCTTTCTTACTTTTTTTGAGGGGGGCGGGGCGGTCTTTGCCGACCTAATGTCCACCCCCGCCTTCAATAGACCCTTAAAGTGTAAGAGGTCCACATTTCTCTTTTTTTGCGCCCGTGGTGTAAATGCAACACAGATCGGGCATGACCCATCGTCATGCCCGTCTTCGGCCAAACACTTTATGCAGGTATCATGCCTGTCTTGGGGGGGAATCGAAGCCGAGCACCCCGTACACAGTTTGAAGGTCTGTAAAAAAGACCGTAATTTTTGAGTTTGGCGGGAAGGGTAATAAAGTGTATCAGTGCGATTGAAAGATCGGAAAGATACGTGCATAAATTGTGTAACTAGAAGCAAAGGCGTAATTTAGAATGCGATTGGTAACGCGATACTAATAGCCAATGTCGTAGTATAATTATAACACCAAAGTGGGCGTGTTACGCGCGAAGGTGTAGAAAACCCGTAAAAAAGGTAAGTGTAATTTAAAATAATTAACACACCACCTTGGGTTTATTTAAAGGAAAAGATTGTAGGCTAAAGCCCGATGATATAGATTAAAAAACCGAAGCCGTTTTTGATGGCCCTGGTGTTACATATATCATACGTGGCACTACAAAATGGACGCTACGACGGCCTTATTTCAAAGGTATCGTACACGTGTCACATAATTACAACTTTATAACTTTACAATGCGAGGTATTACGCCTTTGCATGAAAGAAATGTACCATACATACAGTTTGGTCTGCCATGGTTCTTGTACAAACGATAATCTTGTCTTTATATTGTCTTGAAAAAAACAGCACGTCTGTCTTTGTCAGATGACATAAGGAAAGTGATTTGGGTGAGAGTTGCTTCCCTTGGCGTGACGCGCCGTGGAGGGTGAGGCACCATAAGGGTGGACGTATATCATACAAAAACAAAGTTTTTTGTGTGGTAACAATTTTTATTAAGGAAAATGGTTACAACTATGTCATGTAGATTTTCTTGAGCCAGGAAAATGCAATAAGTGCCCCAAGGAGGATTTAATCTGAAAGAGAATACATATATTGTTACATGTAAAGATTGTGGAGTTTACGAAGAACGATAAACTTTGAACATTCAATTGAAAACTTATTATCGGAAGTAGTAACATGCATAACATTTTTTTTAATAATGACAACATTGGTGTATAATAATAACTTTATTGATAATTTATAACAATAATGGCTCTAGTCGTGGCAACTTCCAAACTTTCGGGAAGTTGTAATCTATCGGACCGTCATTCAGGCGATGTTTCTGACAGATCACGATCTGAAAAATACTATCATGAAAGTGTATCCCGTGGATAAGCCGACCCCTTTCTACAGAATCTTTTTTCTGGTCCTCAAAATTCGGCTTATACGCGGTCATATACGGTAGACGATGCATGCAATCCCTGTGAAGTGGAAGGGTTTCCATGTCCTGATGTTTCAGTAGGCAGTCGTCGATGTAAGACTCAAACTGACCATAGCTCAGGTGCAAGTATGCGGCAATTGGCTTGGTAATCCATGCCAAATCCATGTGGAAATACCAAATGGGAGGACCGCCCATCTGGTAGTGGATACCCTGGAAAACGGGAACCTGAGGAACTTCCTGCAACTTGGGTGGATGGGAATATAAGGCATCCAGGATGTTGAGACTGATCTGGGAATTCTGACTTCTGACTAGTTTCAACGTAGTCAGGCAACAATATGGATGACATTTCAGGAAACTCTTGTTGAAGAGGCGAGATTTTGGACATATGTAAGTTGGACAGATCCTTCATGGGCACCATGAACACTAGAGTAGAAGCCAGGATGCGCCACTGGATCGGGAACAATATTGACCGCCTGTTTGAGCACCAGAAGCTTGAAGGTATGGAGCAAGAGCTGAGCCTGACGAGTAAGAGGGTAAGAGGTCAATCATGGATCTGCTATGAGAGAGAGCTGGTACCCCCGACAAAGGATATAGGGGACAAAAGTATCTTGAAGAGTATCTTGTCCAGTTGGCCCAAAACCTGCCTTATCTCCCAACTACAGTGCTGCATCTAGGATTTGCTCAGATTGGGCCAAGTGGCCCATCACTTTTGGAAAAGTAATTGTTAACCAGTTCTCATTTCCCCCCTTTTAATGCCTACTGATTACATTAATACAATCAGAGTTCCTCCTCATCTTCTATGCTCACAATTGATGCATAAGAGGTGCCAATAGCATAGCAGCAGGAGGCAGTCACCACAGGCACCAGTGGTATGCTGATTAATGGATGAAACCCGATGGCGCCAGAGTAGAGGGCACCGGCATGGGAACAGTGAAGACCAGAGGGGGGCCCACAGGCTCTGAAGAGGCCGAAGGTGCCTTTAGAGACCGCCTGAGCCACGGATGACGGGAATATGGATTGCATATGATAAACCGAAGCGGGATCCAGATACGGTGCAGGGAGGAAACCAGGACACGTGAGAGGCGGTGACCCGTTGGTGCGGAAACGGTGGGCATGAATGCTGTAAACGATGGCAGGGAGGAGAGGCAGTGCTCCAAAAGTGAAACTTGTGACGCTGTAGTGTCAACGTGATTGGTAACCTCTGTAGTCGGAGAAGTGTCCATGTGGTCGGATGTCAGGGGATGCCTACGGGCATTATTGGTGTGTCGTTTTCTCAAGTAAAGTCACGAGGGGGGAGAGAGCGGCAAAGATTGCATGAGTCTCTCGGCATTGTGGGACAGGGTCAGTGTAATCATTGAATCGGAGGTTGGGATCCCTAGCTGATTTACTGCCACAACAGTTTAAGCAACCTTGCATATAATTTTAATGAAATAGACAAACGCTGCAAGCAAAGAAGGCATGTGTCAACAAAGAGAAACGGGCAAGTAATTAAAAAGTTAATACATAAAGAGTATCACTTTACACTTAAAGACGCCAGAATAGGTACGTTGATAGCACAAGAACAAGATAAGCATATTGAAATATCAAGGCACAAGACATGCAAAACACGACATGGCAAAAACAAGATGACGGATGGAACAACACACGCACGAAGTATGCTAATGTAGTGAGTGAGTGAGTTTGGTTTAACGCCGCTTTAAGCAGTATTCCAGACATATCACGGCGTGTCAGCTTAATGTGGGAGGAAAGCCTGAAATGATGCAGGTCTCAGACATTTACCACTTCGGTGAAACCCACGAGCACGGGTATGGTGCTGACAAACCTAGAAACATAATCGAGGCAAACCGGGATTCGAACCCACAATCATAGGTTTCTGGCATGCCAAAGGGATACAACTCTGCACAGCGAATAGGGGCGCCTTAGACAACTGGGCCATCCGTGCCCCCCTAACGCTAATGTAAACCTGAAAGGACCACAATAGTTCACCATCATATTATACAATTGAGAACCTATTGGTTATCAGAAGGAGCTCCGTCTTTGGAGTCAGAAAACAGCAGTAAAAGCATTAAGCATGTTAATGTAGTAATGCAGGACAAGATAAAAAAAGTGGTTAAACTGGTGCTAAGTTGATTTTGTCAACTAAACATCTGATCATATCGATGTATTTGTTTCAAATACTTCATAAGATAATTGGAAACATCCACAGAATAATAAGAATGGTGTAGAGGAACAAGAATGTGTTGTTACTCATAAAAACAGATGTCTCCTTCCTCCTCTTATTTGATACAGATGTCTCCTTCCTCCTCTTATTTGATACATTAGTTCAAGTTGTTACCATAAATGTGTTTGCAAATCCAAAAAACAATAATAGAAATATAATACTAGTAGAGATTTTGATTAATGCAGTAATAATGCAGCATTACAGTTGATGCCATGTTGACACCTTATGGCAGATTGGACAATTGAACTTGTAACAGCAGTTTGGATGATAGATGACATTGTATTGTGCTTGTAGGCTCCAACAGGAACCGAGCCAAAAACAATGTCTCCCTTCTTCCTTGGGGGATGGGGGGGATGGAAGAAATACATAATTCTTCAAGGGTTGCAGAACAAGGGGCCATCACTGTGTTTCATCTGTCTCATGATTTAGGATTAATTTTAAGAGTATACTATATTTTCACATGTAGGTGAGGAGACATTTGTTTGTGGGACCTTCATTGGGACATAAAAAATAATTATTAGATCAGATGTTCAATTTTCATCACCACCCATTTCACAACCAAACACCCATCCAAGAAATTCTCTGTTGTACGTCTTGCCTTTACTTGATGAAATACACCCTCAAGTGAATCACATCCGTAGACAATGTACACAAGTACCTTGAGCAGTGTGTTCAGTGTGAAACTACATAAGAGTATTGTATTCTACATTCTCACCAGTACAGAGAGTTGGGTGAGAAAGACCGTCCTTTCTTCTTGAAGGAGTAGAGCAAATCATTGCTGAAAGGATTCAACCCAAACAGGGACTGTAGGATAGCGTTCATGTAACATGTGTTACCGATGTTGGAGAATCTATAATCAGAACATATTCAAATACAATCTGTTCCCCACAGAAAACCATACCTATCTGCAGCAGTAGCTATAACCATAGCCATAGTTAACTGCAAAATCTCGGTTTTTAACATTAGGGTAAATGCGACAACACTTTAACTTTGATCCCTAATTACAAACACTGGTATTCATGATTGTAAAATATTGTGAATTTTCTTTGTCCATAGGTCTTAAAATTTCAGTGATAATTGTTCTGTGAGTGAGTGAGACTGTCCCATGAGAGGGTGTGGCTTAACTCCACTTTGAACAGTGTTTTAGTGATATCATGGCATGTCAGCTTAATGTTGGATTAACTGTGATACAAGTCCCAGACATATAACACTTGCACCTGTAAGGTGCTGATACACATACACTTCTGGCAGTCCCAGACTTTGGCCACTAGTCTGAAGACCAAGTCTAGAAAAATTCTGTTCAGTCTAGTGCGCAGCACGTCTCATAATAACATCAAAATCTACAGAAAATGATGCCCATAGCCAAGTCCAGGCTAGTTGACATAAACGTTTGTGGCAAAGACTGCTCTAGCATGCCAAAAGGGACCAATAGGACCTATATTCCAAATGACACCGAAAATGACAAAATACATCGAATGTCAAGTGGAAGGATGACTCACCCCAGTAGCGACTGCTGTTGGTTATTGGAGTCTTGATTGCCTTTCTTTCCCCAGGAATAGTTGAGGTCAGACAACAGCCGGGGTCGTTTTTGTGGAGTTGGATTAAGTGGCATCATCCCTGGTCTCTTTACTGACCTGGATTTAAACAATTTACAGAAACAAATTCATTTGGATGCACCATAAAAAAGTATTTTCTGAACACGTAACACTGTCATGCAATACTAATCTAATTTACATTGAAATACAGACGATGATTACATTGGCTGATCTGGGATACAGGCTGTCCCTCCAAATGTTTCAGGTGTTTAATGGGTTATAGAACGAGTATAAAGTTTATGTCAAACATTAACTTTGATCTGATAATTAAGCACATATAACAACCTGTATCTTGACACTTCCTCAAGAATTGATTATTAGTTTAAAGGTTTGAAATGATATTTCATCTGATCCTGTCAGTCACCTCTTACGACAAGCAAAGTCCACAGAACTATTCTAACCCAGATCTTCACGGGTTGTATATGTACAGCAGGTACTTATCTGGACCAACTCTGCGGCCGATATTCAGCCCCAAATCAGCAAACATCAGTGTACTTTCCAAAATTTGAATTCAAAGTCTCCCAATACATGTCGTTATAATTGTGAAACTTGTGTTAAGGCTTTCTGGAAACGACTCATGGACAACGATATCAATAAACATGATAAAGAGGAAGAGGGTTTAATACATAAATTAATGTTCCATTATTGCATTGTAATAACACTTAAGAAATATGACTATGTTTGTTTTGAACAAAGTAACGATTTTTAGGGTACCTAGTTAAGAATCGTAGATAAATACCTACACAGGCCATGGACTCGTAACATATTTAGTTCCAGATTTCTATCTTTATTCTCTGTAGACTAGTGACCTTGCAAAATATTTTCGAAGAACATTAATTAGTTCAGGGTATTGACTGGCCTGTTTTGATAGATTTGGTCTAAAACAAAACAGCCAAACTCAGTAATATACGGTAAACCTAACATCAAGTTGAGCATGCAGTTAGTGAAGCCTGTTACTCACGCAGATGATTCATAGGTCCTGGAATATATTTTCTGTGAAGCTGGAGTGCTACTGTAGAATCCAGAGGCTGCAAATGACTTCAGCGTCTCCCTGCACTTCTCCTGACCTTGCTTGAGGAACTTTTCAGCAGACCGCCTTGGACCACTACAAGGCAGGAAACTACACACATAACCCACATAGACTGCAGCGCAAGGCAAGAATTTGGGGTCTCTTTCGTACTAATGACACACAATAACAGGTGTTACTTATCTCCTTCTTATTGGTGAGTAACGATGGTTTGCTTTTCTGCATTGGTCTTTCATGGGTTGTTGATAACATGACTTTATCTTCTCTGGGCTTTATACTTTGTTAACTATGAAATGTTTTACAAACTTATCAGGAAAATACAATTACAGTCAAACCCTGTTATCTCGAATGTACCGAAATGTCGAACCTATTCTCCAGTCACAACTGCCTCACAACATAAATACATATAAATTTGCCTGCATTACTGGAAATCGAGACAAAAATACATAGCGCTATCTCGAACCCTGGATTGGGTCCCAAGTTTGACTTTAGTGCAGGGGGTATATAATTTTGTACTTTTATCTCGAAGTTGGTGTTCGCAACATGAACAGTCTTGAGACAAGCATCTCACATAGCTGTGAGTGTGAGCAAATCTATATATATCTAGTACCTTTCTTCAAACATCTAACATCACTGTAAAAGTAGTGCAATTTGAACCAATTGGTCAACCAATTATGTACATGATGTACCCAGCTTTGAATCCATTTGTAAAGTTACATATTTTTTAAGAGTAAAATATCATTTATATTTATCCTGACTCATACTTATGTTTATCCATTTCTTTTCCTATAGGTAGTGGAAACTTCCTGTGCTATTGCCAGAGAACAGAGAAAACAGCTCACCCAAAGGCACCCTTACTCCATGCATACACACTGGAACCATGTGACCAAGCCCACTAACTGACCACTCTCTCTACTTTCCTACTTAATGGTCCGAAAACACATCAGCGGAGAGAGGGGAAGGTGCTCAAGTGTATGAGTCAGGATAAGTATAAATGATACTTCTACTAAAAAAATACATATTTTATCTTAACCTGACTCATACTTATGATTGAATCTTACAATAAGTGGTGGGTTCCACTTGCATGTGTGATCAACGTAGACCTGTTCTATAAGAACTTTTTTTGGTTGTTTTCTCGATCTTTCTATTGGGGTGCCACCTTACTATTTGTGAGCAACCAAAATGGAAGTAAATGATACAGATTTTGTGGATTTGTGTGGTTTACATAGTTTATAGAATCTTGTTCGCCTTAAATGATGAAGGTGTTAAGAGAAGAGCAATAAACTTTACACAATCGTGTATAACTCATGTGCTGCATTATATAGTCTCTGAGATAGTGACTGGCGAAACTTCATTGGGGTTGAAGGCTGAAGTGGGGGTCAAAGCCTGCTGCTTTGTATGCTCTGAGAATGACAGCTTTCATCCAGAATGAAATAGTTGTTCTGGAGACTTTGGTGTGTGTAGTCCTTAATAAAGGAATATAAAGTCTTTTGAAACCTTGTCTTCTAGGTTTAGACTCTTGTAGGTATATTCGTAAGGCTCTGACTGGTCATAGAGATAAATCCTCTGTATCCTCTGAACCAGGGATAAGGAGAGAGCCAGAACACTGAATTTTCTGTCTTTTTGGCCTGGTAATCGGTTCTTCGCAATAAAGTCCCATCTTAAGCTGATGTGCGATGATGTGTTGTTGTCGCTGTCAAATGTAATCTTAGACATTCTGGCTGCCGTAGTTAATGACAGAAGAAGTAGGGTTTTCTGTGTCAGGTGTTCAAAGTCAGCCTGTGTGAGAGGTTCGTAAGCATCACTTGACATTTGATCTACTAGGTTCTAAGGCGACTGCCTTGGCTGCTCTAATCATGCTAATGGAATAGCCTCTTTTAATGAGACTGATCTTGATATGTTTCATATGTGATGCTCTTATAATTCTGGTCTTGGAAGGACCGCATTGAAGTGAGGATGTAACAGCAGACTTGGCCAGTTCGGGAGCCAAAGTACTGGATTCCCTGCTTGTTTGACAAGATCTGGAAACCAAATTCTCGCAGGCCAATAAAGTGTTACCAAAAGCGGTTGAAGGCTGCTCGTGTATAATATCTTTTGTATTATCCGTGGTATCAAGGCTGGTGGGGAAACACACACACACGTTTAGGCCCTCCCATGACTTTGCCAGAGCATCAACTGACTAGGCTAGTGGGTCTGGCACTGATGACACAAATGTTGTTATCTGATTGCTTAATCTGGTTGGAAATAGGTCTATTTATGGGCTACCTTTTTCCTTTATAGCCAGTTGTAATGCTGCTTGGTGAAGCTTCCATTCTGTTGCCGATGGTTTGGCAATGATCAAGCAGTGAAATAATAAGCTTTACTCAGGAGCGGCACTTTGTTAATTTTTTGTCAAGCGGACAGACTAAATCTTTTGTTTGCTTGCTTTGTGTTTAACACGGTATGAGGAATATACCAGCTATATGGCGGTGGTCTGTAAATAATCAAGTCTGGACCAGACAATCCAGTTTTTGATATTATGAGCATAATCTGTGCAATTGGAGCCTGCAGTGCAATTAGGAAAATCAGAGTTCAATGGTGTGAGCACAGCAAGCCACACAAACATCAACCAGTTTCTGTTACAGCTGATATCTGTCTTCCATGGTGGTCAGCCAAACGCATTTTGATCATTCTCATCCTATAATGTGGCTGTCCTCTTTGTCCCATCTAACATGGCAATAAATGAATCTATAGGCTTTTTGTTTGTTTGTTTGTTGTTTAACGCGGAACTCCAGCTATATGACAGCCATCTGTTAGTAATCAAGTCTAGACCAAACAATCCAGTGATTAACCTTATGAGCATTGATATACACAATCTGGATATGCATCAACCAAGTCACCGATTCTGACCACCCATCCCTTTTAGTCACCAAGTACGACAAGCATGGGTTGCTGAAGACCTGTTCTTTACACATATCTTCATGATTCCATAGGTAACTGTATACAGTAGAATAATGTTCAAAGATATGTGTGTACAAGAAAAAAACCAGAAAACAATATTCTTAAAAGATATAAGACAATAATTATTTTACCCAAAGAGCTGTACTACTTGGGCATCGCAAAACATTTCAAAAACATAATATAATTGGTTACCTGTGATAATTTTCCTTTGAATCCATATCATCGTCTTCAAAGAGACACTGTCCTAAAGAGCTAGTGTCTCCATTAGAGCCCCTACTTTCCTTGACACTAAAACAACAAAGTTTGACTTGACTATTTGGGTCATTGATCAATGTCAATTTCTTTAAAGTTTCAATAATTTCATTTCATGCCAGAAAATGATCAATTTAATTCCAACAAATAAGCATTCCACTTAGTTCTCACAGAATGTTTCATTTAAAAACATCTACTTAGCACTAACATAATCAACATATGTACAATGTTGAAACTGACTGATAGGCTGGAATAAGGTGGACAAACCTGGTGAATACTGGAGACACATCTGGGGAGTTAGTTCTTGGTGAGACATTACTAGCTGTCAACACATGGTTCTTGTGGCCACCAACTTCAGCCTTGTTTTCACTCACATGAACTGTGTGGGAAAGAAATCAAACATGTAAATGTGATCATAATTCTAGTAATGTTATTATGGTACTGATTACCCGACAACCCTCAAATTTAGGGGCCGTCAAACCATGTGTTTCTCCACCCAAAATATCAGCACTCTCTAACTTCAACATTGCATTTAGCTACGTCTAGCCACTAGACAAGATTTCAGATCTGGTAATCTTTCTTTCTGCCTAAAGTACACTACTAATCATAACCAATATATGCAACAATAAATCTAATGAACATGTACAACTAAATCTACTTACATAAAATACATAATTCTTGAATGAACATGTTGGAAAACTTGTGTTTCCCCATGAATCAATACAATGCTTTGTTGCTACAAACCTGTTTTTCCTTGTTTGATATTGCAAAGCAATTCCTGCACCTTTTTGAGGTGCGCCAGGTCACTTTGGTCTGCTATCACATAAATGTTGTAGCCGGTGGCTAAGTCAAGGATCACTCGGTCGGGTCGGTTGATCAGACTCTTTATCTTATCGTTTATCTGTTTGGAAACAACATCTGATTGAGTAATTGCCATATTAACATGATCAAATATATGTAGAGTAGACATATGAGGTTTTACACAGTTCTAGCCTAGATTATCCAGTGTATTATTATTAGATTTCCATTCTATAATGATAAATACCCCAGACATATTAACAACTATGCCTTTGACTTGAGTTCGCAATGGAGCTCGATGGACCTAGGGAATGTATTAAAAATGAAAAACACTGGATATTCAAGGATAGGGGTGAAATGATACAGCAAGGTCACGATACAATACGTATCACTATACAAAGGTCACAATATGATATGTATCACGAAACACACATTTACGTCAAAATCGCATGGAAGCTTCTTGACAATAAATATTTCTGAGCAGGTTCAAAAGGAAAAGCTAGCTGTAGACACATGTTCATAATGGCTATTTTTAGTAATGAACTTGAAACGCTAATTACAACACATTTTCCTATATCTTACTGATAGAAATGCTAGGGGTCATCAAACGAGTAGTAAGGAATTTATTTCAGCAAGTATATGTCTTGTATTGATACAGACAAGAACGTTTCATGTATCGTCTTGTCACATGAAAACTCACGATGTGCCGATGTATCGTTTCACCTCTATTCAAGGATGACACTTTTTCAGCAAAATTTCAATCTGGAACAGTGTTACCAATTGTTTGCAGTATGGACCTCTGGCTTCATAAACCTGCAGCCACCAGTCATGATTATGATAACATACGAGACAGTAGTTCAAAATAAAACAAGAACTTGCTGGGATAACTTAACCTAGAATCTTTACATAAGTAATATTGTGGATGTACCTTAATCAGGCTTTGGGGCCTCTTAATTTGACAATTTCTGACAATTAGGAGCTTGTAGTTGACATCTTATACATCCTGAATCAAGACCTTGAAACAAACTTAAGTTGGTCCAGTAATAAGCATTAGAGTTTAGAGATCATAAGGATCATAAGGACAAGTAGACATTTGCCTTTATTAAGGGTTTTGTCATATGTTATCACTATAAGGACTTTTGGACTAAAACTGTTCGTTTCTATCGGTGGACATCAGACATTTTAGATCAGAAGTAACAGACACCATACTGATAATCAAAGCCTGACTTACTTGCAAATTGACAACTGGACTTTCTCTCTTGGTGTTGATCCAAAGTTGACACTTCCAATGGACACCTTCGGGTGCCACTACCATTTTGCCTGTCTTGTAGTCGCCAATGTATGACCCCACACCCTTGTATTTGACCCTACCCCGAACCTCTGCATACAGACCTGGGTCTTTCATCTTGTCTGAAGAAAACAGTTCTCACTCAGAAAACTGGATGTCAAAATCATTGAAACTATTTGACACTCATCAACAGAATAAAAATAACTATATCATGTATATGGAGCCAGTCTTTAGTCATGTGAGCCGCAAGTCCAAACCTGAGTGACAAAGTCTGGTCTAGTAAAGAAAGCTAATAATAGACTTAAAGAGTCCATACAACATTATAACCTAATGAATATGATGCTCATACCCAAGTGAAGCTACTATTTGACAAGAAACATGTGTAGCTTGTAGCAGTTTGTGCCACGAGTCTGAAACCATTGGTTCTCGTAAGCAAAGTTAATATAGTCCATATATATATAACACTAAAATCGACTGAAAGTGGCACTCAAGGATTTTTCAAGACCAACTCATGAGCAAATAATCAGCCACAAGTCTACAGTAAAGGGACAGTACATCGACTGTTTCATGTGCTGTTAAATCATGCATGAAATTATTTCTGAGTGTGCCTTCACATGCTGCAATTGCCTGATTCTGTTTTCAAACCAAACAATATAGTTCCGCACAGTGAAGCCAACAACGTAAGCGCTGCACAGAGTAAACTTGCTTCAGTCTTTTATTTTAAAATAGAGGCAAATCTAAGACAAAGCTTGTGTATTTTTCTTACGTCTGAGTTACAAAATACTAATTGCCAGCTTGATTAGAGCCAGCCAAGTTCCCATGTCACATCTCACTAAGTCCATTCATGTGTATTTCATCTGTTCCATCTGGGATGAGTCTACACATTTAGATACACAGTCTTCACAAAATATTTAAACTTTCATTGAGAAAATATCCTAAAAACGTGAAAAACTATTTTCATTTGTGTACTTATCCTCCACATCCTGTCACTGATACCTTACAGAGAGCAAGTGATATACAGTCACTTTGATTTGTAAAGCTATATTGTCATGCACCTCAGTCGCAGATGTAGTTGAATATGTTTATAATAATGCAAAACAATATGTAAAGCACACCCAAAGGCTTGCATTGGGTCTGTTCATATGTCAGAAACAATGTGTGTGTTTACAAATAAGAGTAAAGTCCAGTCACTGGAGCAGAAACAGAATAAGGTGAGCAGAACAGAGTAAGAGTGGCGGTTATCTGCTACTGTTTACACACAAATCTTCAGAACAGATGATGTTTGCCCCGTCAAGAATTCCCAAATGGGAATGAAGAAGTTCCTACTTCATGTACATGATGTAAATACAGTCATAATTAATGTCATGGCTTAAAGTCTTTAATTGGCATGTACGTGATCAGTGATGGCTTTGTCAAGATGACTTTTATTCCATTGACAACAGGACCAAAAACAAGAGAGGCTCAATGTTACATTATTGTACTGAATGCAATGTTTAACAATGTTTAAATACCTCTGACAAAAAGAAAATTGGAACTCGAAACAAAAGAATTCAAATTTGAACAAAATAACATTTCGTTTCCAATTTGCCTGCCGAAGGCACTTAGTTTGGACCTAGGTAAATCCCTGGATGCTAAGCAATACAGGACAAATATTGTTTTTAATTCAGCTGCAGAATTTGTGTTCAAGGACTGTCGATTAATGCAAAATCTGGAGAATGAAAACACATGTTCTGACATTAGCAGCTGGTCATGTTAACTTATGTTAAGTATGGAAAAATCACTGTTGATTTGAATTGTCAACATGACACAAAGCCAAACAATTCTATCAACCAAATATGGTATGGATATCACATATAAAATTAAGGTGTTCTGTTCCATAAAATTGCTGTTTGAACTATCTCTGCAGGGATGGAAATTAGCACTACCACAGAACAATTTTACTAATCATGCAAATGTTGAAGGTATCTTAAGGGCTAGTAGAATTTCAAAACATTTGGGGGGAAGCTAGGCCTATATGTAATCGATATTCAAGCTAGTAGATTTCCTTGGTCAAATTATATCCTTGCTTAAAGCTATAACTTAGTTAAGAAGTCCAGAACATCCGAGAGGAAAGAAGCCATTCTGCCAAAATATAAGTGACAACGCCCACTTCACTACCTTACTTCTGCATCTTATGCAGTAATAACCTCAAAATATGATTTTCAACCTGTTTTCCTCAGACATTAACGGAAGTACCGTAACTGTTTCTATGAACTCTTCATAGAATCTATATCTTTTGTGCAAATGACCGAGTTCATAATCGTACACATGTGGATAATCAAAACACACTTCCTAACAATAATATTGTCAATATTATGAAGTTACGATAATTTCTTTAAACAAGCACGTGTTTTGTTCCATTTCTTTAATGCTTGCCAAGTTTGCATCCCATTAATGACTACCGGTGATGCTGGCGCCTACAACGTTAGGGAACCTTTACTGAGGCTGTAAGAATGCTTTGCCCGGTAGGCTTGGCTTAGATGAGCTTGTCGCGAAACATTTTACTGTGTTAGTGTCCCTTCACCGTTAACCGGTACGGAATGACAAATCCAGTTCACAGTCATAACATTACAACACGACAGTACATAGTTACCTTGGTAGATGGAAAATCAGTCGAAATTAGATAATCATTATTTATCAACACTGGTTTACACACAAGTACAGTTCTTCCACAATTTTCGCGGGTAACTTTACCGGAAGTGGTCTGCTGCAACTCCGAGATATATTCCACAGAACTGTTTCTAATATATGTTTTTATTAGGTCGATTTTAAAGGAGATTAAATTTCACCATCGGCACATTGAGCAATACATACAACAAATCAACAAATACTTGCACAGTTTTATTAATAATCTTCTGTATTTAATCACAAACATACTGGGAAATATATGAAGATACACATACTTCACCCAACCTCACTCTCTTGTTGTATACAAGTGTGATACAAATGTTATTGTACATATACAGACATTTTAAGCTGTAGATCTAATATAATATATTATTGTATATTGATATCTAATATGCAAACATGTAAGTTATAGAGTAACCTTTATGAAATGGAAAAGCACGTATGGAGGTGCGGGTACAGGGGTGTACACGTAATTATAAAGACCACACGTTACATTTATATGAATATCTTTGCTTTTAAATATTGGTAATTGGTGTCGTCATGGTAAATTTTAGCACCAAGGAAATTTAATTTGATATAGATCTAGATTTGGACTCTCGGTACAATATCCTGTACATTATAAACTGTGACGTCAGATGGTTCTGGAATTTGATTGTTTGTCATGGAAGTATATTAATCATTTTAAAACATCAATCTATATACCAAGCGGTCCGGTGTCCTATCATTTTCACCCAAAGAAATTTGTTTGCATGGATCCCTAAAACTTATAGAGAGGTTTACACTTAATAGGAACATTTTGGATTACAGTTCAAAATAATATGCATCGCCTAGATCTCCATAGATGGAACACTTCTCGGAGACGCATATCTGTTTCTTACGAATTCATTAAAAAAATATAATACATGTTTATCAAGGGGTAATATTTTGAGTAACAGCTCAGCTAAAATTTGCCTTTTTTCAGTCGCCGCAAATCGTCGGGAGCGGAGTAACTGGTCGCAGTATGTGCGCTTTTACATATATCGCTAGACTGTACCCCAGTCGATTAAGCGGGCACCTGCTCTTTTGAACTTGGTACCGTCTTTGATGGATATTATATCTTGGCGTTTTCTAGCACGCGCAGGGTATTTGTTTTACTAGTTTCGACGAGACTATATGCTCGCGTATTTTACAAAATAGTATCTATGTCAGTTTATCCAATCACAACACTACAAGAAACGTATTTTCAAATCAATTTGTTTTAAATTAAACATATTGTTGTGTGTGTTTACTGATATATTTCTTTCAAAATCAAACAAAGTAGTTCGAGATTAGCAATGTTTACAAGATGGTGGCCTGTGATGGTTGGTAGGGACGCGAGAAACACTTGACCGGGAGCAGAATTAGAGTTGGATCCTTACACAACATTGTGACGGTCGCCACTTACTACTAAGGTTTGTATGTTCACTTGCCTTGTATATGTTTTGTGTCTTTGAACGTTCATGAAAGAAGGACATATCCTCGTGGATAATTACTATTTTCAGTTATCAATATTTATTCGATCACTTGATTGCCTTAGTGTATGATATGTGACCGTACAATATCAGAAATAACTCTAAGATTTCAACTAGCCCTGATATTGATACGAATAAATCGTAAGGCCATCCCTCGATAAATTTTACGCATTTCCTACCAGACCTGAGGATAAGTCTATCATTGCCGACACCACACATGCAGGTGTCAGTCATGCACTTACTTACTTGAATTTCGTAACGCAAACGAACTCGTACCCCTTCGTAACTCATTTACCCTTTAAATTAGAAACTTCATAACCCTATGTTGTATTTCAATATATTCCTTTACTTAAGAAATAAACGATGAGCGCGAGTTGTTTATCGTACAATAAAACACTGCAGGAAGAATAAACCAAGAGGGGCCCAGCCCCGAGTGGTTTATTCTCCCAGCAGTGTTTTATAGTTTGAAAAACAACGACCATGAGTTGTTTAGTATCTATATGAGATATCAACATTACACACAGCATCTTGAAGGATGTTAGTAAAAGGTACACGCTTTAACAAATATTTAACCATATGTTGTTGTTCTTGGTCATGATAAATATCACCCTTTCGCATTTACATTATATGTTGTTTAGATCGACAGAGCTCCAGATAAGCTGCGTATCTGCGTAAAATACGCATCAGAAATGCAGAAATACGCAGTCAAATAAAATCCAAGCGTATCAAATACGCAACAAACATTACAGATATGCTACAAAAATAAAACTTGTGCGTATCATCAAAATATTGTGAAGTAACCCTGCATATTCGATTAGCAAATCAGCAACTTATTTTGAAATAATAAACGGGCATTCCGTCAACCTTGCCAAACTCCACGATGACAGTTACATCATGATCATTTGCCATCACACTTTCTTGTGGAAGTATCGTGGTATTTTTGAGTCCTTTAAAGCTCTCGAACCCACATGACACCAGTTTGCAGGGACTAGATGAATAGTGTTTTTTAAATATTTAACTTAAATACCCACATGTGTAAAAACTAGTGGGTAACAGAAATTTGAATACCCAGATAGAATTCCTGATACCCAATTATTTTAGAATGCATGAGTAAAATACCCACATCACCAAAAGCTTATCTGGAGCTCTGGATCTATCAACTTAATATAAGATATAGCGTACTTCATTGCTTATCTCATTGGGCTACAATATATTACTTTCGATTTGGGGAACGAAATTGCTCCTTTCAAGGGGTACAAATTCATTTGGGTTTCAATTGACATTTACTTATGGGCTCCTTGATGCCAGCTGCAACTGAGAATGTTTTTTTGTCTTAAGTGACATTTGTATTTAGTTAATGGAGTTTGAATTAAGTTTTCATTGCACAGTCACAATAAGCTACCCATGCATTTGCCCAAGACTATGATGCATATATTGAATGCTGAATATGACAGAATATTAGGTGTGATGACAGCTCAGAATTGTCTGGATGCTGATGGTGTCCAACTTCTATATGTCACTCATCCTCTGTCTCTCCATGGCTAGCTTTTCGGTAAACCTTTACATGGATCCAATCTTATAGTTCTAATCACGAATTACCTGCCCTTGACTTCCAGTTTCCAATCTGATTGCCTACGCTGCTTGGTGAAACGTACCCTTCAGAATGTGAGTTACAAACCAGTCTCAATGTTGGGTCCCCCAGTCCCATTGATTCAGACTGAGTTTGCGAGAAATTCAACTGACACGCAAGATGGAAAGGATATGTTCATGTCCATTAAAAGTAGCGATAGCTTTCATTTACAGGTTCTATAAGTTGCCTCCCTCACCCTTTCCCTCATGTTGATGTTTGATTGGTCGGTAAGATGTTAATGAAAATCAAGGGTTGGTAATTTGCGATTGCAAGAACACTGGGAATGGATCCAGGGGTTGTGTAGCTTTACTGAAATGCTACTGCTAGCCGTATAGATACGGACGATGTGTGTCACAGTGATGTATTTGTGTCTGCAGATGAGTGTCTCCCATGATGAGGATCACTTTGACTTCAACAAGCTGGAGCGGGAACTAAAGGCTGCTGTGACAGCTGATGAAAAGTACACCAGGGAAAATGATGCTAAAATCCGAGCTGTTCATCAAAAAGTTGCCAGCTATGATGAATTCAGGTAACTGTCAGATGTCGCTCATACCTGAATGTGCAGCTCAATGTTCTAGTATCACTGATTTAATATTACTTACATATGGATCTTTCATAAGAAGCAACCATGTGCAGTGAGTCGTGTGTATATAAAATCATTGAAATAAATGTCTTCAAATATTTCACCAAATTCATCTGTGTGCTTTAATACCTACTCCAGCCATGTACTAAGCTGCTAACTATTCATATAGTGTTTGAAACTGGTCAACATTTGAAGAATTGTGATTGGTTTGACCATATCAATTGATGATCGATTAATGATTGGTCTAATCTCATTAAATTCAGATACTTGACGTTGATATGATATCTTTGTGCATGATGGTAAACTTTCTAATCAGTGTCAACTTTTCTAAATTATCGTTACGAATGAGCAAAACATTTAGACCAGCATATCTGGTATGTATCTCAAAATATGCTTAAACGACATTTACCAAACAGGGCTTGAGTTAGCGATATAAAACATGCACAAGTGCAACCTATTATTGAAAAATGCAACCTAATAGTTATGTCTACATGCACCAAGTGCACATCAAAATATTTCAAATTTGTATCTGGCTAATGTCCACACAAAGTTAACATTTGAACACACACACAATGCCTTAAAGTTTCTTTGTCAAACTACACCACAAATCCCTGTGTTCTTGTAATTTGTCAATCTGTCTTGGGCTTGACATCATCAAACTGTGGTCAGTTACATAAGAACAAGATCACAGTTGCTTTTGCCTTTGTGAAAATGTAAACTCTTTTGTTCGGAGACAACCTACAGACTAGTTGTATTGTTCACAGGGAAATAGTTATGGCATCACATCTGAAACCCCTTGAGAAAGGGGACAAGATCGAAGGCAAGTTTGTACAGCCATGGAACATGCATGCAGACAAGAAAAAACACCCACAGCATTCCAAGGATTCGGAAACAAAAGAGGTGAATATGTACATAGACCATAGCTTCCTCATACATAATTCCTGATACTGCTCACCCCCAGAAGGGGTACCCTGTGGAACAACCAGATCAGAATAGGTTCTAAGTAAACACATTCTTGTTAAATGAGCTGGTCAGGTACGGGTGGACCACTTTATATCTAACGCACTGCAATTATATAAGCAAAGTTATGTCCCTTGGGAGTGCCAGAAGGCTGTGATCATGGCTCCAAATCCCAGATTCACCCTCATTATGTTTCTGGGTTTGTCAGCGTGTAGTGTTTTGCAAAAGTAATAAATAATTCAGGCTTTCCTCCCACATTTTGCAGATGCCCTGCTATAACTGAAATATTGTTCAAAGCAGCGCTCAACCCATAAATCACTCATGAGATCAGGCTGGATGACTGCTCTTGCAATGATTCGTGTGATCCAGACACAATAACGTTCAGGCGACCATCACCCTCTCCAAATAATTACATGTTTTTCTACATAGATTTATCTTCTTGTTTATCAGGGACCAACCAAAGTGCCTCAAAACAGCCAGGAATTTGTGAGAGAATGGAGGAGACTGGCGTTGGACAAGAAATACCACTTCCTCACCGAAATTGGGCCACAAAAGTTGGAAAACATTTTTAAACCTGAAATAAGTTTTGGGTTGCTTGGTGATTTTCTTGTAGTTTTGCTGGAAGGATCACAGGAGGAGCTACACATTGTGCTGAACATTCTGGAAGCTTTCAGTCGGACCAATCGGTTCAGTCTCTCTTTCCAGTTCATGAGTTCGAAGGAAAAGGAAGCTTGTGAAAAACTGTTTCAAAAACTTGAAGGCCTGAATGAATGTTCTGACAGGATAACATCTTTAAGAAGTGTTTATTGTTTGAAGAAATAAAACTGTATGAAAAAGCTGTGTTCTGTTAGCTACCCTGCAGTGAAAGTCAATGGAAAGTCAATAGAAAATATTGTCATGATTCATAGGGAGATAGATTTACATGGGTTATTTTTTTATGAGTCCATGAGACTGCAAACATTAGCATATATCACATACAAGATAATTATGTGGTCACAACCAGTGTAGGTAATAGAGTACTGACACTCACTCCAGGGGAGTGAGACCTGTATTCATGGCAGCCCTAGGCAAAGTCGTCCCAGCATTTTCTCGAGGTGGGCTGTCACTGCTGTGAATGATTAAGTCTGGCATGATCAACCTGGTTCCAGGACCTCTGGGATGTACCGATTTACCTGTGAGGTTGCCTCTTGTAAGACACAACCCGAAATCATTCCCAGCTCCCCCCCCCCCTCCCCCCGTTCCTGTGCCTCAAGGGGCAGTGGTTTCACGCTGAAGGCCCCGAGTTCAATTCCTTATTTGTTGCTGGAACATTGCTAAAAGCAGTGTAAAGTCACACATACTTACTCTCCCGTGCCTCTACAAGACTCATTCGTCAATCCCTGACATGGCACAGTTTCGTCGGACCAATGGATTTTCCGCCAGGGTTCTCAGATTCCAGGCGGAGCTCGTGAACGCCATGCCTACCTCTCATGGTGATCTGCCAGTAGTAAGGGGTTTGATTACTCTCCAGCATGCCATTCCCCCTGCTCTCAAGCGGTTCCTCGATGTTCTAGACAGACGTCGATTGCGTAGGGCTCCACTGTAGCGGACGGGACGTCGTTGCTATCGTCGTTATAATCAAAGAGTAGTGTCCTATCGTCAAGCTGTGATGTTACAGGAGGTCGCCCAGTTGAGGCCCGATACCTTTGAAGGGCAGTCAAGTTTTGAATGTTTTGGAAAACGGCAGATTTAAATTACCAAATTTGATGCATGAACATATGAATCTTGTAGATCGAAAGAGTAGCATGCTGCACGTGCATGCCACGGAGAGTTCTGACATCGCCGTCAAACACGAACCTTTACGATGGAACAAGTCATAATCATCATTGCCAAAACAGTTGCAATTACAGGTGGCACGTTATAATTGATTATCTCAGTTGAGCTTTTTTCCAGGTGTATACATTGTGTTCGCTCGTGTGTAGTTTGTTGTTTAATGTTGCAGCAATATTCCTATATGACCGTGGCCTGTAAGTAATCGACTCCGGGCCAGAAAATCCAGTGTTTGATATTTTGAGCAACGATCCGCACAGTTCACGCGGCATCAACGAAGTCATCGATTACAACCCAATCCATTTGGTCGCCCTTACGACCAGCACGGGTTGCTGGGAACCAATTCTAACATGCAATCCACACGGGGTAAAATACTTTGTATCTACTGTGTAGTTTAGTTGAAACATATTTTATTCTCATGAAAGGGATTGGGCACAAGTTATCACAACGTAGAACGCCCTCTCCCATAGATTTACATGTATGCTTATTTACAGTTAATAAATCAAATGACAGAAAGGAAAGGAAAGAGATAGAGAAACGTATGTACATTCGACATGTTCACACTGCTCACTCAAACCTTTTTGTTTTCTTTATATATGTATGTACATTCCTAAAAATGCTTGCGTTCACATGATTAGGTAAACTTGCATTTCCAACTAGCATCAGGTCAATATTTACATCACAGGTATGTTTCACAATTAACAATAGTGAGTGTATCAATTCGTTTCTAGCTGATTTAAATAAAGGACATTCAATGAAAAAATGATATCAAGTAACATACATAAGAATGACATAATTTTAAACTAAATTGCTTGGGTAATGGCAAAGTAATGTTTTTATTTTCGTTAATAAAAGTTTTAACTTTCATGCAAACTTCATTTACAATTTTAGAATCCAAATATACATGAAGTAAAGTCCCCCAAAAGAGCAAGTGTCAACTAACTTCATTTGAAAGTTCTCTTTAAATACAATCATGTATAACTCTAGTAATGAATCTGCACTGAAAATCTAATAGTTCAATATCTTTTGTACATGTTCTGATTTGAGAAAATAAACCTTTCCATGGATTATTTAAATTGAGGCAACTATGCCATCTGTTCGCACAACACTGGTGGCTATGCTGTAGTATGATGTTTATCATTAAACGAAAATCTTGAGCCTTTTGTGTGGGAAACCAAGTATACCAAGTATATTGAGGTGGGTTTTTTTATGTAAATGAAAATTGAAAGAAGTTGTTAGATATTATTATGTCTACTTAACATCACTCTTTCCTGCAACAGTTCGTAAAAGGTAATCTGTGGCTGGGTAATTTTGTGTAAAAATAAATCGGTTCAATGAAGACTACGGTGAGAAATGAATTTGCAAACACCTGATATCTACCATGTTTGCAATGTTGTAAATGTGTGCTGATCGGAAGTAAATTGGATTCTTTTTTTCAAATTTAAGATGTCTAAGATTCCCACCAGCAGTTGTGTATCATACAATATTTTTTTTATTTTTAAAAGTTTCAAATCAAAATATGTTTAAACGAATAGAACCATGTAGAAGTAATCTGTGAGTGCTGACTTAGTGCTGACAGTTAATTTTGGGGATAAAATATCGCTGTCTTAACATATTTTAACTGTTAATCAAGCATATGATAAAATCAACTGAGAGGTACAGTTTCTTGTGCTCCTCGGTTTATATGACGAAGGGCGGTCGGGTAGCCTAGTGGTTAAAGCGTTGGCTCGTCACGCTGAAGACCCGGGTTCAATTCCCGACATGGGTACAATGTGTGAAGCCCATTTCTGGTGTCCACCGCCGTGATATTGCTGGAATATTGCTAAAAGCGGCGTAAAACCATACTCACTCACTTATATGACGAAGGTCTGTTAAAATCTCGACCAGGCGATCAACTTGATTTTTTTGGCAACGATAATTATACTGCCAGACAAAAGAAGTATACATCCATGTTTGATTGTTACTAAAAATGAAACAAAGAAGAAATCGTTATTCGATCGATGGTGATGTTTTTGATATGGTTATCATAGTTGTGTTTTGACTTTAAGTTTGCAATGCTTTTATGACTGTTTTCAGCCAAGTAATGTTTTGATTACGTCTTTTATTTTATTTTTTTTCAAACCCAATGTTTCAGTGTGTACTTTCTTTTGCCCGCCCGTTTAGAAATCGAGTAATCCATTAAGTCCTGCCTCGTACGACTGGCTGGCGTATAGGTGCTGGGGGTCACTCTTAACCCGGACAGGGGCGGTCGGGTAGCCTAGTGGTTTAAGCGTTCGCTCGTCGCGCCGAAGACCCGGGTTCGATACCCGACATGGGAACAATGTGTGAAGCCAATTTCTGGTGTCCCCCGCCGTGATATTGCTGGAATATTGCTAAAAGCGGCGTAAAACTATACTCACTCACTCACTCACTCACTTAAAAATTAACCCGGACTCCCCACGGGGTTGGTGCGGAAGTCGAACATATCCCTGTATGAAAAAGTGGACAAATAAAAATACATCTCTCGATAAAAGGTATGTTAAAACAATATACCACACTTAAAGCCGCGTAGCGTGCGTAGGCTATACACATTGTACTGATCACCAAATCATTCCTTGAAAGGTCTTTCCATTTAATAAGGTAATCTCTCAGATATATGAAGTGGAACAAAATGTCTTAAAATAACGTACGCTCCCCTTTAAAACCAAACGTAGCATGTTGTTGTAAACAGAGTCATATCATCATAATTAGTATCAATTTTTAGTGATACAAATATTCTATGATCACAGCTAATTTTTATTCGATCAAATTCATCTTGTGGATGACATAAACGACACGCGCCTGCAATTAGTTGTTACGAAGATATTCAAGAACTTGGATACACCAACCAAAACAGGTCTTATAAAGCTTCTCGCACCTTACTACACTTAACCAATCATAGTTTAGTACTTCCTAAAGTCGACCAATCATATAGTGCGACTTATTGCTAAGAGGCAATTGACATCAAATTCACTTCCGCTGCCTCAGCCGGTGACTAGAATATAGAACTTACGCTTCGAACAAATGTGAAAATTGGAGCTTGAGTATGATCAAGACCAATGTATTCCTCTTCACGAAGATATTGACATGGATGATGTAAATTTGGGATATTTCTAACGGTTTAGGACTGTGCATTGTGATGATGCAGCCAAATTTCACTGTTGTGACAAAGGCAGCAAGCAGTGCCAAGATTCTTGCAGTTTTCTATGATGACGCACACTGTTCACTTATACGCTAGCGATACCATCAATTAACTGTATTGTTTATGTTACCGTTTCAGTTTTAATGAAAATAACCCATCGTGGCCTGTGCACTATGGCAGTCGTGGAAGAGTCGAGTACGTTCTATGGATCTAAATGCTAGATTATCAAATATTTTCATAGATTGGAACCTAATTTCAATCACTTTACCTTGTTTGGTATAATCAGGAAAGGATAAGATCTGGTTAAAATGGGAAACAAGCAATCCTGCTGTATTTACCATAGCCCTAAAGGTGGGCGAAAGTCAAAGAGAGAAGAGATTTACCAGCCAACTCAAGAGGAATCTCACATGTTGCCTCAGCCACAGAGCACAGCATCATTACCTGGTGTGCCACACATAAGTGAGAGGGAGCCAGAAGGTGAAGATCTCATTTGTATTCATATCTCAGTTAGGAATAGTATTATGCTTTGTTTGTTGTTGCTCGGTACAAAATAGGAGGAATGATACAAACGGTATCCCGAGAACATATGCTTGTCATTAGAAACTAATATGGAGTATAACATTAATTGCTAACTGTGTAGCCTGACTGATTGTGCATAATCATACCCTTTTTGTGTTTATTTTTGCTTTGGATATCCCACCAATGGTTTTACAAGCCCACATTCAATTATTTACATGTTACAGTGAGTGAGATCGCTGATATATTCTTGACTGCCAAATAGAAAATGTATGCATTCTATCAATCATCACCAATTTGTTGAATCTTGATTGTGAACCCTTGTTGTACAGCAAATTCTTCCTGTAAGGGATCATACTGATAGTTATATATGTCATCATTGACATAGCACTTGTTTGTACATAATCAACATTATACTGTTATAAAGAGGGATTGTCGTCTAAAAAGTACTACCTAAATATACTGTACAGTGATAAACCATCTCACTTGCTACAGAATGAAATTTTCAAGTGAAATGAAAATTTCACATCACAAAGTATTATATAGAAAATAAAGTATGGTCAGATTGAGTTCATATAAGTACCACACAAATGACTATACTGAAATGTAGATTATTGATGTTAATAGTGCTTTCAATTATGGGTGTATAATATCACTAGTATGCCGGTATATTGCAATGCGACTGTCAATAATACAACACTTGCGTATTGATTTTATCCGAAGAAGAATTAATATAATTATATTAATTATATCTACTATCTTGAGGTATTTGGATGGACTGGGTTGCTATCTAAACCATGCGGGGGCACGGGTGGCCCAGTCGTCTAAGGCGCCACGATTCGCTGTGCAGAGTTGTGTCCCTTGGGCACGCCAGAAACCTATGATTGTGGGTTCCAATCCCTGTTCGCCCTGATTATGTTTCTAGGTTTGTCAGCACCATACCCGTGCTCATGGGTTTCACCGAAGTGGTAAACGTCTGAGACCTGCATCACTTCGGGCTTTCCTCCCACATTAAGCTGACATGCCGCGATATGACTGGAATAGTGTTAAAAGCGGCGTTAAACCCAACTCACTCACTCACTCACTCACTCTAAACCATGCAAACAGAACTGTTAACTTAAACATTCCAGATTGATAACGTAATAGCTACTCTTGTTTATCCCCACAACTCATCTTGCAATCTGAAGTCTGGATTTTTTTAATTAAGAAGTACCATTTGAACAGTACAAATATATATAATTTGGGGCGCGATACATATTACATATGTATCGCAATACAGCTCTCCGTATTGCAATAATTGTAGTACAATTTATGTGCCAAAATGCCAACCCTTCTGGCCCTATTGTGACATTAAGGAACTTACATCTTAGAATCCATCTTCCCGAGGCAAGGGAGTTAACTGACTATAAGTCCAGTTTCCACCCTTGCCGAACTAGGCTGCAATTATGGAGTTTCGTTTTGGCTGGACTAACAAGTCTAATGTATAGTCCAATCAAAATCGGGTAACGAACTAGACATCTGGTTTGTAAACAACATGAATTTCAATGTACAGATTCGGTTGACTGTGACTGGGTGCCGCCATTTTGTTTGTAGCAAATATAAGTAATATGAGAGATGAAATCTGATTGGTCAATAGGAGGAACATAGAAGGGACATAACTCGTAATAGCCACTGGTGGCGCTATGATTGAGACTGGAAATTCGAGCCTAGTCCGGCAAGAGTGGAAACTGGACTTTTACAGTACAGCAGCAGACAACCAATTTTTGCAATAAATGCTTGCAAGTTTTTGGTTTGGTTTGGTTTGTTGTTTTACGCCGCACTCAGCAATATTCCAGCTATATGACGGCGGTCTGTAAATAATCGAGTCTGGACCAGACAATCCAGTGATTTACATCATGAACATCGATCCACGAAATTGGGATCGATGACATGCATCAACCAAGTCAGCGAGCCTGACCACCCGATCCCGTTAGTCACCTTTTACGACACGCATAGTCGCCTTTTACGGCAATCATGGGTTGCTAAAGACCTATTCTAGCCCGGATCTTCACGGGACTGCTTGCAAGTACCCTAATGGACTAAGTCAGGTGTTGTTCAAGTTACCAGGAAAAGGAAGGTTTCACTTGTATACATATAACTGGTCAATTAAAATACCAACTGATCGAGGAACTGATTTGTCTCTGGTACAGATCATTCCGACTGCAGTTGTACAGCTGATATTTTTGTTCCAAGTGAAAGCATTCTTCACTCAAATAACAACTTGGTTAATAATGTTAACTGTTTTTTCTTTTGTTTTATCTATAGTCCCGATAAACCATCTTGTCAACCCACTTTTATCATTGTTACATATGAACATGCAATGTAAAATGTTTCAGTGTAATGACAAAACTGCTAAGAAAGTACTACTTTCACAAATTTTAGTTCTTCTTTTAGGTATATGTTACAAAACGCAAATGGTGAAGTTATGTCAGGTTACTTAACATGTTAATGCTAACTCAGCTTTGATTTTGCTCACCTGTGAATATACCATGCCCATGGGAGGTTAATGGTTTACATTTCAGCCTGGAAATAATTATGGCTTGCATGTGCAGAGCTCTCTCTCTCTCCCCACCTACCCTTCCCACACACACACTGCACTCCATATTACTTTGACTAGTCACTAAAGTGCTATGAACATGATAAAGTTAGATTAGTATTGGAGTTAACAAATATGTAATTATTGAGACGCATGGTGCAAAGAAGTTCACTACTTATCATCTGGTAAAACAGGTGTCCTAGTCGTCTAAGGCGCTGCAATTCACTGTGCAAAGTTGCGTCTCTTGGACATGCCAGAACCCTGTGATTGTGGGTTTCTAATCCCAGTTCATCACGATCAGAAACTAGGTTTGTCAGCACCGTACCCATGCTCGTGGGTTTCACAAAAGTGGTAAACATTTGAGACCTGCATCACTTCAGGCTTTCCTCCCACACACTATGATATAACTGGAATACTGTTAAAAGTAGCGTTCAACTCAGCTCACTCACTCACTCAGTTATCATCTTATAGTGGTGACAATAAAAACAATAAGTCACTATCTGTGGTGTAATAATTGTAATGAATATATTTTCCTATCTAATCATGATGTGTAATTTCTTTTCCAGAAATCGATGCCGACCCATCCAACAATCCTATTGCCAGACCCCTCTTCTCAACACGCTCTGAACATGAAGTCCAGAAAAGTGAGCATTGTTAATGTTGTTGTCAAACCTGCATCCTTCCTCACTCAGGAAAACACATGAGTGGCCCACTGGTCCAACTCAACAAAGCTCATTAACAGTTACATCCCCTTAGCTGCCAGGATGTCCTATTTGAGGGTGAATCCCAGATTTGTGTCAGTTATGAGCCTTGGCAGTGTACCCATTTTCGTAATGACAAGAAAATAACATTTTGCTTTGCTTTGAGGTTAAACATTGATATTAAGAGACTTAATCTCGAACCAAAGTGAAATGTTGCACATTATGTTGAAAGAATTGAAACCGGGGAAATTTCAAACATTTTGTTAATTGTTCAAAGTTAAGACTGACAAAAATTGGATGGATTGGTAATTTTTAGAGTTGCCAGTTGACCGGGACTGGCAGTTTCAAATGCCAGCAGGAACACTGCTTGGTCTGTGAACACTGTGCTAGTGGGTTTCACCCAGGTGGTATATGTCACCACTCACCAACCATGCTCCCTCTGGGTAATAACCAGATGTGTTTATGTTATCTGCTTATTCCCACATTGTACATGATATGCTATTCAGGCTTACATTTAAGAAATGGTCTCTAGCATGTCAAAGTCTGTGGTGTACTTTGTATTGCTGCTTTCTTGTCCTATACCATGTTCACCATTGTGGCCAGGGGCTGAAAATTGTTCACAAGTCTGAGAAGTTGTTGATTGCTGATATTAGACCTGGGGATTCAGTAATGTTCACAAGTCAGGCAAGGATATTGCCATTTTGTGCTTTTTAATCTGATGTAGGGCTGGGACGTGTAAATCGGGTACCCGGGTTGGGTGGGTACTAACTAGGACCTGGGTACCCACTGGACTACCCGGACCTGTGGTTAGTCACGTGATATATTGTTTAATGACAAAAGTTATCTTAAACTCTATGGTTATACTTCAAGTCACAAATGTTCACATTTCTTTCTGACTATGCACCCATTCCTTCTGACTTTTCATATATTTGAATAAAGATAGAACTTGAGTCAACTTCAGTGTATGCATGACCAGATTGTTTAAAACTTCTATCTTAATACGTTTTGCCAGTGCTATGGTAACAAATTCTCTTGAGACCTACAGTGTTTTCTTCACTGATCCAAGTCGTGTCTTCAGGAGTTGAAAATAGCGACTACACTGCAATTGAACTATATACATAAGATACATGTAAATGTCTGTATAATTCCATAAGTCCCGGTATGTTCTAGATAGCATCTGGAATATATGTGACATATGGGGGAAATATATGTGAATCATTAAGCAACGAGTTACTGTTCTTCTAGCTATATGGGGCGGTCGGGTAGCCTAGTGGTTTAAACGTTCACTCGTCATGCCGAAGACCCGGGTTCAATTCCCGACATGGGTACAATGTGTAAAGCCCATTTCTGGTGTCCCCCGCCATGACATTGCTGGAATATTGCTAAAATCGGCGTAAAACCATACTCACTCAATTCTTCTAGCTATGTGTCTTTGTACTTACATTGAACCCAGTCGCAAAAATGGCCACTAGAGGAGCACGAGTCGCTTTTGGTCTTGTCCCGGAATAACACGTGTTGGTCACAAATGCCTTGCACAGTGTTCTGACACGTGATGTTTCTGATATACTGTGGTTTTAAACCCAGCTCACCCACACACACTCACCGCCGTCTTATGGCTGGAATATTGCTGAGTGCAGCATTAAGCGACAAACAAACAAAAACTCACACATACTCTCACACATACTCACACACTCACTCGCACACTCACTCGCACACACTCACACTCACATAAACACACATATGCTCACTCACTCACACATACTCACATTCGCATATACCCACTCACAAAAACTCACTCACACATCTCACACATACTCACAAACACTCACACTCGCATATACCCACTCACAAAAACTAACTCACACATCTCACACATCCTCACACATACTCACAAACACTCACTCGCACATACTCACACTCCCATATACCCACTCACACAAACTCACTCACACATCTCACACATCCTCACACATACTCACAAACACTCACTCACATGTACTCACACTTGCGCACACTCTGGGATAATTTATCATTATGGTTATTATGTTTATGCTTCAATAGCTGTCATATCTTTGACCCTGTTAGTGTTATCATCTGCTCCAGGCCTGTTTCCTACATTACATTACTCAATGTTTTTCTCTCCAGATAATAAGATGAGGAGGAGAAGTCAGATCATCACATCAGAAGGCCACCATCATGTGGTAAGTAAAGTGTTGTTGTCACTGACATGCGCGAGCCTCACCACAACTCCGCATTAGTAAGTGGTGGTCCAGGGCAGTAAGCTAACCAGCGAGCATATATACTCACTAACACGCGGGAGCCTCACCACAACTCCTCATTAGTAAGTGGTGGTCCAGGGCAGTAAGCTAACCACTGAGCATGTATACTCACTGACACGCGGGAGCCTCGCCACAACTCCTCATTAGTTAGTTGTGATCAGGGCAGTAAGCTAACCAGCGAGCATATATACTCACTGACACGCGGGAGCCTCGCCACAACTCCGCATTAGTAAGTGGAGATCCAGGGCAGTAAGCTAACCAGCGAGCATATATACTCACTGACACGCGGGAGCCTCGCCATAACTCCTCATTAGTAAGTGGTGGTCCAGGGCAGTAAGCTAACCACTGAGCATATATACTCACTGACAAGCGGGAGCCTCGCCACAACTCCTCATTAGTAAGTGGTGGTCCAGGGCAGTAAGCTAACCACTGAGCATATATACTCACTGACACGCGGGAGCCTCGCCACAACTCCTCATTAGTAAGTTGTGATCAGGGCAGTAAGCTTCCCAGCGAGCATATATACTCACTGACACGCGGGAGCCTCGCCACAACTCTTTATTAGTAAGTGGTGGTCCAGGGCAGTAAGCTTTCCAGCGAGCATATATACTCACATTGGAAACATCTCCTCTTACTGTACATACTTCTCTATATGTTTCTATGGTTCACGTTTTTTTGGCGATGAGTTTATATATATATACAGGGTTCCCCCTAGACTCCAGTCACCTTGACTCAGCCTATGAATTTTACGGAGTCAAAAATAATTTTTGAGAGTCAAATGTTTTATTGTATGATTAATGAAATTTAAAGTGTTCACTGTTAATGTTACACTAAAAGTTAAGTATCTTTTAAATATTATATGTCTTTAGTTTAAGTTAACAAGTGCTAATTAATGTTCTCAGCTGATTGTACAACAGAGAAATAAAGGATATATGAATGAAAAACAAAGTTTGTTGGTTTTATCTTTTCACAATCTTTAATTACTTCACAGCTCATGAAACAATTAACAGTGACACTAATACAGGATGAATAAATAACATCAGTCTCAACTGTGAGACATAATTTTTAATCATGGATGGATATTAAAATACATTTCATGTCAGATTATAATCTAATACCACTAGCTCATTTACATCTTTTATCTAGTTATCTTGTATTATCTATCAACAGTGAAGTTGAACTCAAGACTTGTGAACACTGTAATATTTTCTGGTTGAATACAGTTTATTAGCAACAACAAACACACCAAAAGCTTTACATTTCGTATATACCATATTTATTCGTGTATAATACACACTCGTGTATAATACACACCCCTAATTATGGGCAATTAAATCCTGAAAAAAATATCTCTCGTGTATAATACGCACAGACTTTTCTTCAGTCTTATTTCAGACTGTCATGATCCGTCATTGGAAATAGCATAAGAAATCCGAATTGAATTACGCAAGTTAATCCTGTTGTTACACTATCTGGTAATAAAAATGTGTTCTCTGTATATCTGACCTTATGTTTGTCATCTATTTTATTAATTTTATTTAAAATTTCATTCAATAATGTTTACCTAAATTTCAGCAAAAAACATGTGTCCCTCCGATAACTTCTGTTTACCCCGTTCCATAGCTTGTGCTTAACCACATACTGTAACCGTGTTAAATCACATTATTCACCGCAACAAGGATAATATTTTCTTCTGTTTCATTTTTTACAAGTCTACACATCTAGATAAACATATGTCATGGTTAACTTTTAGTGAGAAATTATGCCGAAACATGAAAAACCTTGTCCATTTGCGGAATTTTCCTTTGTTTACATCACGTGCTGTCATCGAAGCCACATGGAGTGTGAGAGTTACGTTCACTTTGATGCATAAATATATTTTGAAACGACGATTAATTAAAAACTAGACGTAAATTTTAAGATGTTTGCATATATTGTCTTCAGAAAATGTTTATAAATTAAGTTCAGGTGAGTAGTTGTAATATTTTCATTCTAAAAATTATTTAGGTTTTGTGAAAACAGATCTAATAACTGCTCCAGTGTTACCTTACTTCCTGAAACAAACTGCTAAATCTTATTAGGTGTACTTCTCTTTAGAGCAAGACTCAATTAACTGGGTATGACTCATGAGAGTTTCACATAAACTGTTACTTGCAACAGCCTTGTGTTAGCCAGGCTGCATTGACCTTGCAGTATTTCATGCAATTTGGTGCAGTTAGCATTGTCCTACAAACCCTAATAGTACCAAGTATTGTGACCTTAGGTTGGCATCTTGTTACATCTCCCTGTTACAGGCTACAAGATGCAGATATTCAGTTGTAGAACTGGAACTATAGTGAATACTGTACAACAGTACGACTTGGCGTGCTGAGCATTACCCTGTTGGGCATACAATCAGGCATATAACTAGTCCCCAGTTGCAGATTCTTGGGAGCAAGATGCGACTGAAATGGTTCATGTGGTCTAACTTGGATGATTGCTTGTAATCGTACCCTGATGTTGCTCAAAATATAAATCATTGGTTTGTCTGACCCAGACAATTATTTGCAGGCCTCAATGATAAATGCTATTTTTTGCTGACCGCAGCATTAAACAACATTCACTCACTCACTGATGAAGTATCAACGTACTGTGATGGCATTGGTGATCCATGTGAGAATGCTGCAGCGATTAGATGTGCAGAGTTGCATCCCTTTGATTGCCAAATTCCCTGGATTATGGGTATCTTGCTAATGATTCTTGGTTTGTCTGCATCTCCCCCATGCAGATGGGTTTCATCAAAGTGATAAAATGACTTCAGATCTGTATCCCTGGGGGCTTTCCTCCTACATTAAACTGACATGCCTTGATGTAACGAAATCAAAGTGATGTTGAATCCAATTCACTCACAACAAGTTTGTTTGTTTTCAGGTAGATGAGTATGGACAACTGAAGAAATTCAGCTCGTGTTCCACGATATTCATCGATGACTCCACAGTGTCTCAACCCAATCTGAAGAACACAATCAAAGCAGTAGCACTTGCCATCTACTTCCACATACGGAACCGTGATCGAATCATGCCTCCTCACAATACAGAATCACATATACAGGATATATTTGATGAGAAAAAACACCCTTTGTCTGCAAGTGTTATTTTGGGGAGCATATTTTAAGACTTGATTGTAGTTTGAATAAAACTGAAGGTATAAGGATATGTTTCCAACAGCAAGAAAAGTTTTTATGTATTCAGAATTTTGTGTGTAAATTTTACAATGTTCAGTATTTTAACCTAACAATTGTGAGGCCTGTTAGAGTATTGAAACACCTTGATCGTAAACTCCATGAGCTTGACCTTTCAGAAGGAACCTGTCCCAGACGACTACAACAAGAGGGATCCTGAGCACAAGACTATATATCGCTTTGTTAGGAACCTTTTCAGTGCTGCCCAGCTCACAGCAGAATGTGCAATAGTTACCTTAGTGAGTACATGACATGATTGTAGTAAAACAAATATACATATTCTCCTTCCAAATTATGGATGGGTTGTTGAAATGGTACTTAGTTATCATGCAAAGTAAGTTGGAAAGGGCAGAATGAAATTCAGTTGTATTTCTTTTCTGAATAGAAATGTTTTAATTTAAGCATGCATGCTGCAATTTAATGATTTCCGTGATTCTAACAGCCATATGGTTTTGTGTCTCATGGGACATATTATTTCCATCCATTCTCAGTTTTGCAAGCATTCTAATCAGTATTTTGTGATTAGGAAACATTGTGGGCTTCACCAAGTTACATCAGCTGAAATGCTACTCAGAAGGGTGTTAAGCTCCCTCAATTAAACTTGCTGGTTGAAAACAGGCCATATTTTCATATTAGGGAAGCATGGCTGATCAATGGATCCAACCCATCCATCCCGAATTCAGCTACATAAACATGGTTACAGGGGTACTGATGAAGATGCTTGCTTCCAGTAACTGTGTCCCTTACCTGTTTATGGCTGCTGGGATTCACTGGTTTGGGGATTGAATCCCTTTTTGCCCTGATTGTGACCAGGCCTGAACTAAATGTATTGATCTATTTACTTGTCTGCAGGTGTATTTGGAAAGACTTTTAACATACGCTGAGATAGAGATTTCTCCAGCAACTTGGCGGAGGATTGTCCTCGGTGCCATCCTTCTTGCTTCAAAAGTGTGGGATGATCAGGCCGTGTGGAATGTGGATTTCTGTCAGATTCTCAAAGATGTCGCCGTTGAAGACATGTAAGTTGTCAATAAATTCAGTACATGATTGTGGATTTGAGTTGCTTCTCATGTAATTATATATGTATAATGAGTATGAACACCACATGTTTGGTCTGCATGTGAAACTGAAAAATCTTCTCTACAATTTGAAACATTTTGGAGCTCTGAAGCTTATAATGCTCATTATCAGAGAAACAGAATTTGTAGCAGTTTCAAAGTTGAATATATCTTTGTGTTGTGCGACAAGAAGTCAAAACTTGACATTCTAGTTACTGCAGATTGCTGGGATAGTTGTATAATCATCTATTTCTTCTTCCAGGAATGAACTAGAGCGGCAGTTTTTAGAGTTGTTACAGTTCAACATCAACGTACCCTCAAGTGTCTATGCCAAATACTACTTTGACCTTCGATCTCTTGCTGATGCTCATGATTTGGTCTTTCCCCTGGAGCCTCTCAGTAAAGACAGGGCGCTCAAGCTGGAGGTATGTTGTAGTCCCAGACAGGGCCCTCAAGCTGGAGGTATGTTGTAGTACAGTACTAGATAGGGCGCTCAAGCTGGAGGTATGTTGTAGTCCCAGACAGGGCCCTCAAGCTGGAGGTATGTTGTAGTACACTACTAGATAGGGCCCTCAAGCTGGAGGTATGTTGTAGTACACTACCAGACAGGGCCCTCAAAGCTGGAGGTATGTTGTAGTACACTACTAGATAGGGCCCTCAAGCTGGAGGTATGTTGTAGTACACTACTAGACAGGGCCCTCAAGCTGGAGGTATGTTGTAGTCCCAGACAGGGCCCTCAAGCTGGAGGTATGTTGTAGTACAGTACTAGATAGGGCGCTCAAGCTGGAGGTATGTTGTAGTCCCAGACAGGGCCCTCAAGCTGGAGGTATGTTGTAGTACACTACTAGATAGGGCCCTCAAGCTGGAGGTATGTTGTAGTACACTACCAGACAGGGCCCTCAAAGCTGGAGGTATGTTGTAGTACACTACTAGATAGGGCCCTCAAGCTGGAGGTATGTTGTAGTACACTACTAGACAGGGCCCTCAAGCTGGAGGTATGTTGTAGTCCCAGACAGGGCCCTCAAGCTGGAGGTATGTTGTAGTACAGTACTAGATAGAGCCCTCAAGCTGGAGGTATGTTGTAGTACAGTACTAGGCAGGGCCCTCAAGCTGGAGGTATGTTGTAGTACACTACTAGATAGGGCCCTCAAGCTGGAGGTATGTTGTAGTACACTACTAGACAGGGCCCTCAAGCTGGAGGTATGTTGTAGTCCCAGACAGGGCCCTCAAGCTGAAGGTATGTTGTAGTACACTACTAGATAGGGCCCTCAAAGCTGGAGGTATGTTGTAGTACACTACTAGATAGGGCCCTCAAGCTGGAGGTATGTTGTAGTCCCAGACAGGGCCCTCAAGCTGGAGGTATGTTGTAGTACACTACTAGATAGAGACCTCAAGCTGGAGGTATGTTGTAGTCCCAGACAGGGCCCTCAAGCTGGAGGCATGTTGTAGTACACTACTAGATAGGGCCCTCAAGCTGGAGGTATGTTGTAGTACAGTACTAGACAGGGCCCTCAAGCTGGAGGTATGTTGTAGTACAGTACTAGATAGGGCCCTCAAGCTGGAGGTATGTTGTAGTACAGTACTAGACAGGGCCCTCAAGCTGGAGGTATGTTGTAGTCCCAGACAGGGCCCTCAAGCTGGAGGTATGTTGTAGTACAGTACTAGATAGAGCCCTCAAGCTCGAGGTATGTTGTAGTACAGTACTAGATAGGGCCCTCAAGCTGAAGGTATGTTGTAGTACAGTACTAGACAGGGCCCTCAAGCTGGAGGTATGTTGTAGTCCCAGACAGGGCCCTCAAGCTGGAGGTATGTTGTAGTACAGTACTAGACAGGGCCCTCAAGCTGAAGGTATGTTGTAGTACACTACTAGATAGGGCCCTCAAGCTGAAGGTATGTTGTAGTACAGTACTAGACAGGGCCCTCAAGCTGGAGGTATGTTGTAGTACAGTACTAGACAGGGCCCTCAAGCTGGAGGTATGTTGTAGTACAGTACTAGACAGGGCCCTCAAGCTGAAGGTATGTTGTAGTACAGTACTAGACAGGGCCCTCAAGCTGGAGGTATGTTGTAGTCCAAGACAGGGCCCTGAAGCTGGAGGTATGTTGTAGTACAGTACTAGATAGAGCCCTCAAGCTGGAGGTATGTTGTAGTACAGTACTAGATAGGGCCCTCAAGCTGGAGGTATGTTGTTGTCCCAGACAGGGCCCTGAAGCTGGAGGTATGTTGTAGTACACTACTAGACAGGGCCCTCAAGCTGGAGGTATGTTGTAGTACAGTACTAGACAGGGCCCTCAAGCTGGAGGTATGTTGTAGTACACTACTAGATAGGGCCCTCAAGCTGGAGGTATGTTGTAGTACACTACTAGACAGGGCCCTCAAGCTGGAGGTATGTTGTAGTACAGTACTAGGCAGAGCCCTCAAGCTGGAGGTATGTTGTTGTCCCAGACAGGGCCCTCAAGCTGAAGGTATGTTGTAGTACACTACTAGACAGGGCCCTCAAGCTGGAGGTATGTTGTAGTACAGTACTAGATAGGGCCCTCAAGCTGAAGGTATGTTGTAGTACAGTACTAGACAGGGCCCTCAAGCTGGAGGTATGTTGTAGTCCCAGACAGGGCCCTCAAGCTGGAGGTATGTTGTAGTACAGTACTAGACAGGGCCCTCAAGCTGGAGGTATGTTGTAGTACACTACTAAATAGGGCCCTCAAGCTGGAGGTATGTTGTAGTCCCAGACAGGGCCCTCAAGCTGGAGGTATGTTGTAGTACAGTACTAGGCAGAGCCCTCAAGCTGGAGGTATGTTGTAGTGCAATACTAGATAGGGCCCTGAAGCTGGAGGTATGTTGTAGTACACTACTACACAGGGCCCTCAAGCTGGAGGTATGTTGTAGTACAGTACTAGACAGGGCCCTGAAGCTGGAGGTATGTTGTAGTACAGTACTAGACAGAGCCCTCAAGCTGGAGGTATGTTGTAGTACACTACTAGATAGGGCCCTCAAGCTGAAGGTATGTTGTAGTACAGTACTAGACAGGGCCCTGAAGCTGGAGGTATGTTGTAGTACAGTACTAGGCAGAGCCCTCAAGCTGGAGGTATGTTGTAGTACAGTACTAGACAGGGCCCTCAAGCTGAAGGTATGTTGTAGTACTAGACAGAGCCCTCAAGCTGGAGGTATGTTGTATACTAGCCACATAAAGAAACTGTGCACGGAGAAAATATAGATACAAGGGCACACCGTCCAGATATGAAAGATAGGTTTGAACACAGCAATTATTGGAGACATTCAAATGCTCATGCACGTGCCATGCCATATGACGTCATTGATGGGGGCCTATGGACGTGCAACGTGTTACTGAATGTGCGTCCTGTGCAGCTGTACACAGCATGCGCAACTCAAAATTCGCTGTCACTTTGGAAAGCATGATCTGTGGTCATTCAAAAATTCAAAACTTCTCAGGCGCAGACACACGCATATCACAAGCAAATCATGCCAAGATGCACAGCGTCATGAAGCCATTGGAATGATCTGAGCGGGAATGAGGCAACAACAGGTGGCAACACATTTCCAATACCATCGTAACACGACGTTGCTGACCACCCACGTTCAGGACGTCCCCGAGTAACGACGCCAAGACAGGACAGATGGATTCGAGTTACACATCTCAGACACAGGTTCCAAACGGCAGTAATGACGTCCCAGACAATTCCTGGACTGCGCCGTATCCATCCCAACACTGTCAGGAATCGTTTACGTCAGTACGGGATTCGACCACGACGCCCTGCCATACATCCCATCCTGACACACCGTCATCGAATCAACCGTCTAAGATGGTGTCGAAATCATGTTCGCCAACCTCGAATATGGTGGAGAAATGTTGTCTTTACAGATGAATCGAGGTTCAACATTTCCCACAGTGACGGGCGCCAACGTGTCTACCGGCGTTTGGGAGAACGTTATGCATGCAACTGTATTGTGGAGAGGAATCGTTTTGGAGGTGGCTCTGTGATGATTTGGGGTGGGATAACACCACCCCTTTGGTGGTTGTTCAGAGCAATCTCACCGGTGTTGGCTACAGAGATCAGATTCTGAGGCCTGTGGTCTTTCCTTTCTTGCAACGTCATGGCCCGGGATTGACATTTCAACAGGACACCGCTCGTCCTCACACGGCTAGGGTTGCAATGGATTTCCTTCACCATAACAATGTCATGTTACTGCCATGACCTGCAATTTCTCCAGATCTCTCCCCAATAGAGCATGTGTGGGATGAAATGGAGCGCTGTCTGCGTCGTCTTCCACATCCTCCAGATAACGTCCGTGACTTGGCACAGGATTTGAGGAGGATATGGCAGGCCATTCCCCAGGCCTTCCATGCCCATTTGGTGGACTCCATGCGTCGCCGATGCACTGCTGTGATTCACGCACAGGGTGGTCATACCCGTTATTGACTTTGTGACTTTGTTGTTTGACCCCCTACTCCATTTTGATCTTCTGACGTCATCGTAACAGATGTTGTTCAGGTCCAGTTGACATTTTCTTATGGTCCGATCATTCAGCTGCTACAGCTTCTGCATCATTTTGTTCTTGCTGTGTTGTATTTCAATCCAGAATATATTTTCTCTGTGCACAGTTTCTTTATGTGGCTAGTATAGTACACTACTAGATAGGGCCCTCAAGCTGGAGGTATGTTGTAGTACTAGGCAGGGCCCTATGTTGATGGAGGTCAACAGTAGTTGGAGGTAGACTAATGATAAACTAGAAGTCCTACTTGTATTCTATACTGTTACTGTTTCATAAAGTGTGGTCTGTGGGCCAGTTGGATTTAACAGAGATATTTATCTCTGATAGTTCTTAGTTAAATGCGGAGATGGACTAATGTATTGTCTTTTGGTGCTGACTAAGGGATTTATAATTTTCAAATGCCAAAGGAACGTATTTGTTAGTTAAGTGGCAAAAGTGAGCTGGAAACTTTGTTGGTTTGATTTTAATGATACTGTCTATGGAATGTTCCTACACTGTAATATAGGTACTTGTACTATCTAGACAAGTTTACCAGAACTAATTACTGAATATCCACGATATTGACTACATTATAAAAATATAAAACACTTCCTGTGGTCGACATGCTTGGCTATAAATCATTTGAGGTAATCTGTTAAACATTAGGATGATTATGGTGAGCTGTTGTTTATGTGCAGAATGCACCCAAGCGTCATCAAATGCTAAGATCATGAAGAAAATCCATAGCCATAGATGTTAACTTGAAGTTTCCTTCTTGTGATGTGATGTCACATAAAATACTCATAAACATCATTGGGGCAAAATCATAAAGTAGACACAATTTATGGATAGCGACTCCTTTAAAATGCTGTTATGGCTTATGTTCTGTTGTCAAATGCTGTCAACTTTAATAGGTTTTTTACCAAAACATTGCTATAACAGTATATTAAAGAAGTCGATATTCTTTAATTTTGTATCCTGTCTTATCTGTCAATATCTAAGAAATGCCTGTCAAACAATTCATGATGTTTGGGACACTGAAACACCTGAGGAAGCGATGGGCTGTATGATGGAGTTGAGATGCTGATGGTGATGTACGGCTGTTGTGGTGGGAGGAAGCAGTATTCCTGGGCAGAGAAAGTGACATGTCTTCTCTATTTCAGGCCATGTGCAGTGTGTGCGAAGACAAGGTGCGTGCCTGGCAGAAGACGGGGAAGATCCACCGAACTGCTAGTCTAGATGGCTTATCTGTATCAAATAGAGGCAGCAAGGCTATCCTCTCTTGATCACCAATGTGATTGCTTAGTCGTAAACAAATTTCGATTGGTCAATCAGGATGATTGACAGGTGACAATCATCATTAATGTCTAAATGTTTCTGCCCACAGGCTTTGTATATGTAACTTATCACTTGGCAGGTAGTTCATTTGCAGTGGAATGCACATGCAACATACAAAGATACTGGTAGTGAATCGTAGGCATGATTAGATATGAGCAAGGACCACAATGAAATGTACATGATATATATTACGTATTGTAAGTTGCTTCCAGAAATCTTGAATTTGAACAAATTTTATGGAGGATATTGCTCAGTGTTAACAGGTGTTTTTGTTTGATCAGTGTTTTCGTTGTTGATATCACAGGTAGTGGTTGTTCCACTGACAGGTAATCACTGAGTATTAATGTATGCCAAAAACATTGGAATTTGTTGACACAGCCGATGGAAGAAGTGTTTGGGTGAATGAGAGAGGTTAGGCATGCACTCATGGAATCATGTAGAAAGTATTAGGATCATATATCTCTATATATTCCCACCCCATCAGTCAGAAGCTTCTAGTCTTGATGTGTGATCAAAATGGTAAATCAACATAGCTCCTAGCTATACAGGAACCAAGCAAGAGTGTCTCATCAGCTGAATGGAGTTAAGGCCTTTACTCTTTTATTTATTTGTTTGCAGATTTACACATTTTCATTGGTAATTTTTTGTGAATTGTGACATAAATTTTAATGTTTTTATAAATTTACATGGCAAAGATTCAGACACTGCTTGGAGTGCCAGTGAAGCTACATATAGTATTTGTTGTGGCTACATGTCAGGCTTTGATCAAACTTTTACATGTGATTGAGCATGAAATACCTATGACAAGCTTACTAAAAAACAATTGCCCTCCCAAAGTGTATGTTATTTCAAGGACATTTCTCCCCAAATACTTGTGTATTTATTGTGACATAAATGAGTACAAAATTTCAAAATTAATTATATATGAAAACCTGAACCTAGTAATAAGAAAGAACCCTAACTTCACATTGAATGCTGTGGTAAATAGTGTGTCATCCTTTTGTTTTTTAGTTGAGCCATCTGGCTGTACATTGATATCAGATTACTTTAGGCAACACATTTTTTTTTCATTTCACAGGCACGCTGCCCCTAGTGAAAAGCTTTCTTAGTCAGTCTAAGAAATAAATTAAACATAAAAATATGTATACCCTCTTTTACAATACAAAATGTTATATATAAATTATGTGTCTACATCACTATCAGTGATTCAAGAGGCCACCTGCAGTTTTAACTCCATGGCAGAATGACTTTCATATAAGTAAGTAAGTAAGTAAATAAGTAAATAAATAAATGACATATATTTTTATATATATATCGACTGACCCTGTGTGGAAAAGCTGGAATAAATCTGTGAAACATGAAAATAAAAAAGTATGCACTTATTGTGGAATAACCCAGTATTGCAAAATTCCTCTTCTGCAGCCTGGACTGTCTACAAGTGTAGCTGTGTAATTCACCTACTCTTTTCCAGACATGTATTAAGATCAAAGTCAACAGTGAAACCTGATTGACAGGACAGTAGAATATCACCTGGAACTCTTCATTTATTGCCCATAGTTTTTTAACTATATTTGTTTCGATGATACCTCAAGAATTACATAACTAGTGGACGTGTAATCAGACAGTCATTCGAGAATAAGTGTCACTAACATTTAAAGTTTTCCTTGCAACAGCTTTGGATAATTCATTACAGCTTTTATGTTTGAACATTATGTGGGAATTAGACCATTATTAATGTATAATTTGTTCTCTGGAAGTGGACAATCTTTGGTTATAACAGTATGTTTTTTTCCAAAAAAAAAGACCAGTGAAAATCTAGAGAAATGTAGCTTGAAGCATGTTGCATAAACCTGTTGCTAAATGTATCTCAATGCTGCTCTGGGCGGTTGGGTAGCATAATGGCTAAAGTGTTAGCTTGTCATGCCACAGGCCCGGTTTCAATTCCTCACATTGGTACAATGTGAGGAGCCCATTTCTGGTGTCCCCCGCTGTGATATTGCGGGAATATTGCTAGAACAGCTTAAAACCATACTCACTCACTCACTCACTTAATGTGGCTCTCCCTGTAGTATTGGTTTACATGTTAGGAATGTACCAGCTTTAGCAGAAACTTTTTGTGCCCATTTATTTCATCTGCAATTAAGTACCAAATTTCGATGTAGTTGGGTTATATTATGAAAAGGTTGCGATTCTTATAACCAAATTAGTCATTTATGGCCTTATGACTTTCTCACAGAAGTTCAATATCATACTGACTGCTAATGTGACAGCATGGTTCACTTTCAGTGCTGGAATAGGGATTGTTTTGGGACCAGATGTTTGTAAGATTCAGGAAATACATTTAATAGATTTGTTTTAGGGATTGTTCTTTTGCGGGTATATTGAGAAAGGTTCCACTCCTGGGCTATGTTTCTATCAACCACATCATGTGCAATCAGTGTTTCAAGGCTTGAACTTAGAAGGGACTAAATCTGGAGGATCCATACTATGTTTATGGATATGTTGAGATGGGGTGAATTAGCAGACAAACATTACATGATTTCAGATAGTGAATATTGCGATAGCATTGACTAGAGGCTGCAGGTGTTGAATTGTCGGTAATACCCTGTTTCGTTATGAACTCATTAAAATGATGTATGTTGCAATGTGTTAACATCATCCAACAATGAATAGACTGGCTATTCAACTTAAGCTTAGATGCATGTCATCATATCCCATTAAAGTAAATGGAAGTTCATGATGTCAGTCACTGGATTGTCTGGTCTAGACTTGATTTTTTACAGACCGTCGTCATATAGCCAGACATCAGACGTCAGACTTTAAACAACAAACAAACAAAATTTGAGCTTAGACCTTTATTTATTGACAAGAAAATATGTTTTGGGCAAATCAAGCAGTAGATGCACATCTTCCACTACAACCAAACCACAGCTGAGGTAAATCAGTTCAAGGGAATGTTTTATCAAAGATCCTATCGCAAATAATTAAACATGTATGTTTTAAAGATGATTTGATGTTATGAGTGGTATGGCATTAAATGTAGACATTGAGAAGCAAGGTCCGCTGGAATACCTGACAACATGGGAGTATTGAACGCTGTCATGTATAAGTGGCATATTACAAGATAGTTTTTAGGAGTCCACAATAAATTAATTATTTTGATGTTCATCTTGTACCTATCTCACAACCAACCACCTTTATCAAATCGTCCCCAAATGGTGACATGTTAACTTCCTTTCTCTTTACTTGATCAGTAGGCTACCTATATATGTGGTCCTAAACAGCCATGGTTCATACAGTTAACATGTGTTAATGTAAACAGATGCCTTGATCATTCTGTTTACAAATAAAATATAATATAGAAAATAGAATACTTTCACTGCATTTGATAGCGACCAGTGTCTGGTTCCTTGATGAAGACTTTGAGACATCTGATATATGTTTCGGTGAGGAAGGTCTATCTGTTAGCTCAGGCAAACACATGCTCCACATATTATGTAGCTTTGTCATAATGGATTTTTTAAATATTTTGTTTTAAGTATTTTAGACTCTTACAAGTCGACCTGTAGCATGCATTGGACCACATGGAAAATGTAAGAAGAAACAATTTCATTATAGTCAAAAGTTTCCCCCTCTATCAAGGACACCACCATAGGAGGTTGTTTCAGGCGGGCACTGAGCCAACTTTAACCGCAAAGACAAAAGTGTGCAAGTTCTTGAGGCAGTCAGAATGCTTCACACTTGTAGCGAGAATTTAGAAGCCTTGATGCTGATTGGCTGAATAGAAAGTCCACCTGATGGAACCATGTATGGAGGCGTCCTCAGATCTTCATGCAGAGATGTATTGTATCGGAGTACAAGATTGAATGTAGTGAGACTGAAGAAGATATTACCTGAAAATTTGAAGTATATGTTGAGTTTGGTCACACTGATTTGGAGTTGTCAAACTAACTGCAATGCCAGACAATGAATGACACCAGTCTGACCAACACGACACAGGCATTCCCAGTGTGGTACAAGGGCCTTCATGGTTAGCTCTGTCTTCACTTCTCTGTAAAGTGTTGCTGCATTGTCACTAGTGATCTGTTTATATTATTGTTTCATGAGTATCTGCATGTTCTTAGAAGTCAGTGTTCGTGTGTGGACATTTCTCTGTTCCCTTTCAGCTATGTACACAGTTTGGATGTTGAAGTTAGAGCAGGTTTTCTGGATATAACATCCCAAATTAAGGTTACGAGGAGATGTCATCAGTAAAACAGCAACTGTTTTGGTCATGTTTGAAATCTATATTCAGATTGTAAGTAATTTAATATTTAAACAACAAAAGTTGTCCCATAATTTTCACAATATTATGTTTTCATAAAACAGGAAATTCATCGCCTGGTTCATCAAAGTATATTAGGGAGTATGTGATCAGCACCTCAATTCGCTGCACAGAGTATAGATTCCCTTCGGCATGAATCTCAGATTTGCCCAGATGTTTCTGGATTAGTCAGCCCATGCTTACTGGTGTCACCCTAGTGGTAAAACATGTTCTTTCTTCCACATCAAGTAGGCATGATGAAAAACTGTTTAAATCAGCGTTAAACTAAACTTAACCAGAAATATATGATGGGAGAAATGTAAAGAGAGTTTGTAGAATTGTTTGGCATAATGTGTACTTTTATAAGAATTGTATTAGTCTCAATATTATATGGCATGTGGTTTCTTGTCATGCAAAGGTAACAAGTAAAGTAAACTAATTTATGTTTAATATCTTGGGGTTTTTACGCATATTTTCATGTCAGCATGGACTTCAGGGAAAAGTCATTGAGATAAGGTACAACTGGCAACAGGGTGTGAGGTAGGATATTAATTGGTGTCGGTATTTAGAAGTGTCTACTGATATTGATTTGTTCTTACCTCAGAGTGAAATTCATGTAGGAATTTTGTATTATGAACATGTATCCTAAATATAATTAGTGCTTTACAAAATATTTTCTTACACTAGTATCAATGTAAGTGACAGCAAGTATTTAGGTTGCTATTCCAGTGTCATGGATTCTGTGATGATGGGCTAGTAAAATACCTTTCTTGGTTCTCCGCTGCAATCACAAGGCCGACCTCATCATTTCCTGTATTTCTGGTAACCCAACTGACCAATAAGTTTATTTCCTACCCAAATATTTTTCCACAAGTCTGTATCTAGTCTTCATGACAACTTTTCAAAACACATCTTAAAATCATTTGCATGTATGTTTACCAACTTGTCAGCTGATTTGGTTCTCGGTAACCTGGGAAACCGTTTTAACTGACAAAATATCATAATTTTGAAACCAATGTAACACACTTTTTATCACTAAAACTTAAAAGGAAGATCTGTTGCATCATTATCGAAAGTTGTTGCCTGAGAACCAATTGTTATTTACAGCCTGATCAGTTTATGTTAGTGCCACAACGGTGTATGTATTAACAGAAAATATTTCATCCTTGAGTGGATACACATATTTTTTATGTATTGATATGTCTTTCAGAATGTTTTGGCAAATACTGCCTCTCTTATACTGTGTTGTATGTTACTTGTACATAAACCCAAAGAGTTGTAAAACAATGCTATTTTATTCATGTCAGCATCTCATTGCTTGTGTCATTACAAGAACATTGCACATGTTCTAAAATATCATTGTCATTGTCATGATGTTTATGCAAACTGGTATTTTGTAAAGCTTTAAAAATGGCCAAAATGTAATGTTAGTCTAGCTGTAGAATTACTGGTTTTATAAGAAATGAAAGGGAAATATTAATTAGAATTAATTTGAATTTTGATATTACTTCCACTAGTTGATCTATTTTTAGACACATTGTCTTTGCATAACAGCTTGCATCATATGAGCACATTGTAATTGGTGCTTTGTTTATACTTATTTAATGATTATTGATGTCATTTATACTAATTTAATTGACACTGTGTACATATGTTGGATCTCATTATTGAGATCTTGAAGCTAGTCCATTCATTTTGAGATGGTTAGTCATGGTACTGATAGGATAATACCCAGATCCAAATCATAGCTATACAATGTCTGACTTTTTATTTATTAATAATCTGTTATTTTATTTATTTTTATTTCAAAAGTGAGCAGGTTGTCCAAAAACTTAACCTTTAAAGGCCACAAAGAACCCCATTCATTTGCTCTTTGAAATTGCTTTTGTTATTGTCTAGATTTCTGATATTGAATAGATTTTGTGTTATGTAGGTTATATTTACTTAAATGGCAAACAGTATTGTGTCATAATAAGCTCACTATTAGCACTAATATAAGTAACATGTAAACCTCTGTATATCTGTGAAGGACATGATTGTCTTTGAAGGTAACACATGTTGTCATTTTGGCACAGAACTTGTCCTCCTTACCTTTAATTTGAAAACCGATCTCATGAACAAAATAATCTTGCTGACCAGATCACTGTATGTATTATCTCTCCTTGCCGCCATGTGGATTCCAAGGCAAAATACATTGAACAACCTTAATATGCTTGTCATACACGTCAAAAAAGGCATCCTCGATTATCCAGTGTATTGTGTCCCTGTTCTATTATGATTAACACCTTGGACCAGTTTGCCACTATCACTCCTGGGTTGAATTGTTAAACATAGCTGTCCATTTGTCCAATCAAATTACTCTCACAAATGTACGTGAACATCCGGGGTAGAATTGGTTTTCAGGACTTTACAGGATTCGGGTGGTCAGACTCGCTGACTTGGTTGATGCAGGGTGATCGTATCCCATCTGCGTGGATCGATGCTGATGATATCAATCACTGGATTGTGTGGACCAGACTCGATTATTTACATTCATGATGCTATTCATGATGTTGCATATAGAACCTGCCTTACATATTTGCATTAGACTACCAAGTAGAACATTGTTGGAACAACAAATATTTGGAAAATGTGTAGGAATCTAAGTGGAAAGGGGACATAAAGTACCTATTATATTATTTTATGTTGCCTAGTTTTATAACTTTCCATGTAAACATTACTCAGATTATCTGCTGAGATTATTGTTATATTGTAAGTGAAGGAAACGCCATGCCTAAAGTAATGTTGTCTGACAGCTGTAGACTAACATCATATCTCTAAAATGAACATATTTTACAGAAAAGACAGTTGTTAGATTATCTTTTTAAAATATAATAAAAAGGAGCCCAGAGATACTTCATTTTCTGAAACTACAGTTATCTGGACTTGCCCACTATTATTGACTTGCTTGGACTGTATGGTAGACTATGACAGCCGTATAACAAGTGTTTGAAGCTAGGCACGTTTAGAAGCTACTATAATTTATGTATAACGATATACCCATGCAATGTATTGCCACAAATGCTTCAAGCCAACTCGCATGAGTAACTTTAGAATGTAAGACACTGCATAAAGCTGTGCATTGTCTGGATACTGGTTACAAATATGAGGCCAATAGAGTGCGTTAGGATATTTTATTGATCTGTCTCCATGGTAACCAGTCAGCCATTTTGTATTACTGTGTAAAAACATGACAATGTATTTAAGTTTGTACACAGCTGATTATGTTTGTGATTAACACGGACTAATAAACTATCAGGACAATTTTGGTTGATGTTATTACTGATGTCACGATGTGGCAGGTGACTGGAATGTTTATTTGTTTGCCACAACATGCTGCCTGTTGATAGAGCAAGGATGGGCAACAAAACTGTTGATTGACTGAATAAGCATACAGGATGTGCTGGGGTTATGCTGGTATAGTCAGTCATTGGTTTGTCAGCGGCAGTCTTAATATTATGTTTTGATGTCGAGATTGTGTAGAAACCTGATGTAGGTTTTCCAACATGGCATGTGTGATATGATAGCTATCGGTCACATTGTGTGGAATTATGTCTCCCCCAGAATGGAGGGAGACGTATTGTTTTTGGCACGGTTCCCGTCAGCGTCGGCGTTGGCGTTGGCGTCGGCGTTCCCACCGTTTCCGGACCATAACTCAGAAACCGTTTAATATTTTTTCGCGAAACTTTGTATACACATTAACCCAGCACTGAAGTGGTGCCTTTTGCTATTTAGAGATTTTTGACATTTTTATTTTTTCTCGTTTCCATGGAGATAACTTGAACATAGACTCTGAATGGGGGTAAGCTTGGTTTCCGGACCATAACTCGGAAACCGTTTAATATTTTTTCGCGAAACTTTGTATACACATTAACCCAGCACTGATGTGGTGCCTTTTGCTATTTTAAAAAATTTGACATTTTTATTTTTTACTCGTTTCCATGGAGATAAGTTGAACATAGGCTCTGAATGGGGGTAAGCTTTGTTTCCTGACCATAACTCAGAAACTGTTTAATATTTTTTCGCGAAACTTTGTATACACATTAACCCAGCACTGAAGTGGTGCCTTTTGCTATTTAGAGATTTTTGACATTTTTATTTTTTCTCGTTTCCATGGAGATAAGTTGAACATAGGCTCTGAATGGGAGTAAGCTTTGTTTCCGGACCATAACTCAGAAACCGTTTAATATTTCAACATTGACCTCAATACAAACAAAGCGCAACCTCTTCTGCAAGAACCCTTCACACAGCTGATTGAAGTGTCCACTACCAGGAAAGAAACTGTTATTGACCATATTTATGTCAAGGATCTTTCACATCAGAGAGCTGGTGTGGTGCCTTGCTATTACAGTTTCCATGACATCACATATGTCATTGTGTAGAAGACCTGCAGAGTCAGATACACGGGCAATTACATCACAGAGACTTTCTTTTGTGCCATATAACATTGCTACATCATTTCTGATATGTTGGGGATATTAATATATTTGTGTCCAAACTCTATTAGTACTTTAAGTGGATTTTCTACAAATACTTCAGTGACAAGAAAACTGTGCTGCTTAGATGACTACACTGTCAGGTGGGTAAATGATTGAGGGATTAGTGGTGTTGATTAGACGCTGAAGTGGTGCCCATTAGTTGTTTGAAATTTCTAGGAGTTCTATTTTTGTCCCGTTATTTAGTAATGGAGGGTGGGAATGAAGAGATTGGGTTTAACGTGAAGTAAACGAATGAATAGGGGGTTAGGGGAGTCGTGGGAGACATATGTTTTTACGAGTAAAAACACTTTCTAGTTGTGATTAGACTTGTTGGAGCGGTGCTCATTTTCTAAATGGCTTGTTTGCAATCTCTTACTGCGATATATTTATCTATTATGAATTACTGAAACAAATTTCATTCAACCCCCCTCACATGTATTAACAAAGATCAACACCACACAAGGATCAGTTTCTGTATATGTAGAGGTGGTTTGGTGGCCTAGTAGTAAAAATAGTCACTCATCGCCCCGAAGGCCCAGACTCCATTTCCTTATACTGATTGAATCCCATTTTAGCCTCTCTCGCCCTCTTTCGTACAAGCAGGGGTAAATAACCTGTGGAAAATGGACAAACTTGAGGGACGTGCGGTGATCAGGAACTTGCAGACACCGTCTTAACACCGAAAGCCACCATGAAGATATGAGTACAACACCAGGCAAGCCTGTGCTTCCTTTAAGAGGTTGACAGCACAGTTTAAGCTTCAAAGGGGGGTCTTGATAACGATCACCGTCCTGGAAGTCCTGTCACATGAGCAACACAAGAAATGATCCAGGATTCCTTGATATATTAATGACTGACCGGCGAATGACTGAACGTCTGAACAGTGGAAGCATTTGACATCACGGCCATAAAAAAGACAAAGGATGTCCAATCAGCTGGTAAGGTTATGGTCCCGTGTTAAAGATACTGAGAGTGTCATCATGGTGGACTATCTTCCCAGGCCGGACAACAAACGGAGCATGTTATGCTGCAATTGCGGCAATTATTGAATGAAATTAGGACAAGGAGACGTGAGAGGCCGAGTAAAGACGTACTGTTTCATCATGACAATGCACCAGTGCACAAATCCGTCATTGCCATGGCTTCAAACCCCGAGTCATCGCCTCCATTCTCCTGATCTGACTCCGTCAGACGTCCAACTGTTTCCAAACATCAAGAAACACTCTTGCCGAAACCCATTTCGACTAGACTCACAGCATCTGTGGAGAACCTTTTGGATCGCCAAGATAAGAACTTTACGAAACTGGGATAAAATCCTGCAACATCGTTGGCAAAGTGTATCAATGGGGAAGGTGGTTATGTTGAAAAATAATATTTAAATGCCATTAGGTCAAGTCTTTTTGTTTGAGGTTCAGGACGTTTCAATCATCTCTCGTACAAGCGTCTGAAAGACATATTCACTCTGTAGTGGTACTTGCATTATGCCGACTAATGCTTTTTTCGCTCAAACACTCACTTGCAGACAACGGACTGAAATGTGCTTGTATGGGCATGCGTGTGTCACTCCCTAACTTTTGTTACTTGAAGGTTATTATATGGCCGTTTTCATATTATACCCAATATCAACCCGAGACCTTCGTATGGGTTGATATGGGGTATATGAAAATTCTATATAATGACCCTTTTATCATATGCCATACCTTTGTAAAGCCATATCAGCCCGGCAGTGGATACAATACGATGTCTGGTCATTCCACCCCCTGTGATATGACCGTCCGTATGTTGGCTCTCGCCACATGCAAAATGCCTCATATCATTGATACGTGTATGATAAAAATAACTTATATCATCTCTAAAAACGTTTCATCCCAGATACCATCTTAGAATCTGAAGCTGGAACTAATGACACCAAAATTGACATGCATCAACCAAGTCGGCGAGTCTGACCACCCGATCCCGTTAGTCGCCTCTTATGACAAGAATAGTCGCATTTTACAGCAAGCATGGGTTGCTGAAAACCTATTCTACCCGGATATTCACGGGACAGCTACATTGTGAATTGTATCTGACAGTGACATGAACAGTCAAACGCGATGGTATAATTTAGTGCAGGGAAATGATTTTAACAATGCAGGCGTTGTTACAACTGTATAACATCACGCTACCGCCCAAAAAGTACTGCTGTCCTCACACCACAGATGTTACAATATTTGGGGCAATACTCGTGTGCCGAGGCTTCATCGGAGCATATGTCACTTGTATCGTCGAGCCACTTGCAGCTGATGCCGTCCATATCTTTGCATCCTGAAAACGTTGTGGCGACAGTAGTTGTTGTCGTCGTCGTTGTAGTCGCAGTAGTAGTAGTTGTTGATGTTGTTACGTCTGAAAGTAACGAGAAATGTGATATAAAACTGGCTGCGTTTCCTCTCAGTATATATGATTTCTTGGTCACCTCTCCTAAATCTATGACCTCAAGAATTGATTCCAAGTGTTTCCATTAGTTCGCTTCTGTTATTTGGATGTGGTATGGTTATTTATAACATATATTCTACGTTACATAAAAATAACCATAAGTAAGAACACGAAGTTCACGTAGAGATGGGGTGTCGGACATTTCGATTTGGTCAAGATATCCAGTTTGTTTGGCTATAACTCAAACATTAGCTGGCACGTTTTTGCTCTCAGTCGATTTGGTCCGTTGTGGCATTGGTCCTGTTGACTGTTTTCGTTAGGTGTACTTACCGCATAAATCGCAAAAGTTCTGACAGTGAGTCAAGGCCCACGACGCATACTGTGTACACACAGACTTGCCGTACGATGAGCAGTCCTTTAAGTTATCCAAACAAAATTCATCTGAAGCAAAATAAAGAAACGAAAATGGTAACGGAAATGAAAACGTCCCGTAACATTTTCTAGCGTTCTTGAGCAATATTATGACATGCACTGAAACAGTCTGATTTCTGTCCTATTTTTACCTATTAGAAGAGTACTGTTTCTTCCTTTCCTTCATCCATAATAATTTTGTGCAGCAATTATTTATATGGAAATTTATTTATTTAATGAAGAGTTGAGTGAAACCGTTTACCGTTTTTTCCTGAAACTCAAGTCACACCATGCAGTGTTTTTTACCAACGGCATGTTTATATGTTAAAAAGTATAAAGATAACCATTCACATTCACATCCAATATTCTTCTGTGAAGAATCGGCTCCTGACCGTCGGTGGCACGCGTGAACGACTTAAAAATGTGTCGTCAAATTGAGATTGAAATGACAATCGTGTTCCAATTGACTGGTAATATATTACTACTGCTCTATCGTTATTTGGCTTATAAAAAACATTCCCTTAGAGCCGTATTACAAATAATCTTCATCATAGCCCGGTTTGTTAGAAATGTATAACAGACTTTCACTTACATGTTGTTGTGTCGTCAGTAAGTGTCTGTTAAGGTTAAACGCCGCTATGAACTGTATTTGAGCTACATCGTGGCGTGTTAGCGTAATGTGGAGGAAAAGACGAAATAGCGTAGACATTTTACCACGTAAATGTTAAAAAGAATCAAACCAGGTCGAATCAAGGACTTATGTACCCGGTCATACTAAAGGACGTATGTTTGCACAGCGAAATGCGGCACCTTAGACCGCTTTGTCAAACTTGACTGTTGATACTAAATTAACGTATTGCTTTTTTAATTCTTTTCTTTCATTCAAATGTCAAGCTATTCCATTTTTTCTCAAATGTTCACCGTACTGAACGTGCCCGTTTATGGCGTAGGGTATCACAGAAGTCATACCTTTCTATATACAGGCGTGTACCCTGTCCTTACAAGTACAACCCAAACCGGTGCACCATTTAAAGAACTCGCCCAGCTGTTGTAGTGCCATATTATGTGGCCAGCTAGGGTACTTTTCTGTGTTCTGAATTTCGCCAGAATATATTGCTGTTGTACCATCCACGACAACTACACCTTCAGCGTTAATGTCTGCAACTGAACTATACATTTCACATACCGCAGAAACCACAATACTGCTTGCATTTCTGACGCGCCCACACGCCATACTGACTACACGCCGACTTGCCGTACAGGTGACAGTTAGGTTCCTCGTCACCACACATGGTGAGATGTGTATCTGAAACACAGACCTTACGTTAGTGTTCTCTGGGTGGCCATATGTCTGTGAATATCCCAGTGTTCTCTAGGTGGGCATATGACTGTGAATATCCCACTGTTCTCTAGGTGGTCATATGTCTGTGCATATCCCAGTATTCTCTGTGTGGTCATATGTCTGTGAATATCCCAGTGTTCTCTAGGTGGCCATATGTCTGTGCATGTCCCAGTGTTCTCTAGGTGGTCATATATCTGTGAATGTCCCAGTATTCTCAAGGTTGTCATATGTCTGTGCATATCCCAGTGTTCTCAAGGTGGTCATATGACTGTGAATGGCCCAGTGTTCTCTAGGTGGTTATATGACTGTGTATACCCTAGTGTTCTCTAGGTGGTTATATGACTGTGCATATCCCAGTGTTCTCTAGGTGGTCATATGTCTGTGCATATCCCAGTATTCTCTGTGTGGTCATATGTCTGTGAATATCCCAGTGTTCTCTAGGTGGCCATATGTCTGTGCATGTCCCAGTGTTCTCTAGGTGGTCATATATCTGTGAATGTCCCAGTATTCTCAAGGTTGTCATATGTCTGTGCATATCCCAGTGTTCTCAAGGTGGTCATATGACTGTGAATATCCCAGTATTCTCTAGGTGGTCATATGACTGTGAATGTCCCAGTGTTCTCTAGGTGGTTATATGACTGTGTATACCCTAGTGTTCTCTAGGTGAGCATATGTCTGTATATATCCCGGTGTTCTCTAGGTGGTCATATGTCTGTGTATATCCCAGTGATCTCTGTGTGGTCATATGTCTGTGCATATCCTAGAGTTCTCTAGGTGGTCATATGTCTGCATATCCTAGTGTTCTCAAGGTGGTCTTATGTCTGTGCATATCCCAGTGTTCTCAAGGTGGTCATATGTCTGTGCATATCCCAGTGTTCTCTAGGTGGTCATATGTCTGTGCACATCCCAGTGTTCTCTAGGTGGTCATATGTCTGTGTATATCGCAATGTTCTCCAGGTAGTCATATGTCTGTGCCAATCCCAGTGTTCCCTAGGTGGTCATATGTCTGTATATATCCTAGTGTTCTCTAGGTGGTCATATGTCTGTGTATATCCTAGTGTTCTCTAGGTAGTCATATGTCTGTGTATATCCTAGTGTTCTCTAGGTGGTCATATGTCTGTGTATATCGCAATGTTCTCCAGGTAGTCATATGTCTGTGCCAATCCCAGTGTTCCCTAGGTGGTCATATGTCTGTGTATATCTCAATGTTCTCCAGGTAGTCATATGTCTGTGTATATCCCAGTGTTCTCTAGGTGGTCATATGTCTGTGCCAATCCCAGTGTTCCCTAGGTGGTCATATGTCTGTGCCAATCCCAGTGTTCTCTAGGTGGTCATAAGTCTACATATATAGTAAGTGTTCTCTGAATGTGAAATGTGGCAAAGTAGTCATTGTGCTGTAATTTCTATAGCTGCAAGTATACAGATGCATATATCGTAAGACGTTACGTGTAATACTTACCACAGACATTGCAGTATTTTTTGCAGTTTTGGTGTGCCCAGAAAGTATTTTTGACACAGACGTTATCGTAGACGGCACACTGAGTGGATATATCTGTGCATGTTGGTTCTGAAATGAAAGAAAGTCACAATGGAGATTTTGACGAAGATTACTACTACTACCACTACCACTACCACTACCACTACCACTACCACTACCACCACTACATCAACTAATCAACTACTACTACTACTACTACTACTACTACTACTACTACTATTACTACTACTACTACTACTTCTACTACTACTACAACTACTACTAGACCGCCTCTATGGTCTACTCGATAGAGCCAGGCCACATCATACCAAAAGATGTGACATGTTTTCGGTATTAGGGGGCTAAAAAAAGGACTGGTCGGCTCGGACTCAGTATACAGTGTCTGGGTGGGGAATTATTTTACATGCGGCAGGGTATCTTATTGGGCTAGCAATACTACTGCGACTACTACAACTACTACTACTACTGCTGCTCACTATTGCTATGGCTACTATTGCTGGCTTTATTCTGCCCTATGACAGCCAGAAAGCAGAATTATTCTTTTGAATGTAAGCATCGATTTAGCAAAAGTAGACCTTACTTAATTTGTTCGTTACATTCCAGCATGGTAGAACAGACATTACGCTTGCATCTTCTTTAATCCAACCAGTCTGAAAAACACCAAGTCGTTTTGTAACATCAAATGCACAACAAACACAACAGCGGCCGTATAAATAGATAATGGGTAATGAAGGCTTTCAACCCAACATTGATAATGGTACTCCATATGAGAGGTTCAGTCCAACCAACTAATATAGATACTGGTACACTACTTTCAACAAATCATTCCTATATGGATGTAGGTACAATATATCAGGGTCTTCAGTCCATCCGTCCCATATGTGAGTGTTCAATCCACCCTTCGTATATGGATAGTGGAACGCTATATGAGGGTTTTCAATCCACCCTTCGTATATGGATAGTGGAACGCTATATGAGGGTTTTCAATCCACCCTTCGTATATGGATAGTGGAACGCTATATGAGGGTTTTCAATCCACCCTTGGTATATGGATAGTGGAACGCTATATGAGGGTTTTCAATCCACCCTTCGTATATGGATAGTGGTACACTATATGAAGGTTTTCAATCCATCCTCCGTATATGGATAGTGGTACACTATATGAAGGTTTTCAATCCATCCTTCGTATATGGATAGTGGAACACTATATCAGGGTTTTCAATCCATCCTTCGTATATGGATAGTGGAACACTATATAAGGGTTTTCAATCCATCCTTCGGATATGGATAGTGGTACACTATATCAGGGTTTTCAATCCACCCTTCGTATATGGATAGTGGTACATTATATGAGGATTTTCAATCCATCCTTTCTATATGGATAGTGGTACACTATATGAGGGTTTTGAATACACCCTTCGTATATGGAAAGCGGTACACTATATGAAGGTTTTCAATCCATCCTTCGTATATGGATAGTGGAACACTATATGAGGCTTTTCAATCCATCCTTCGTATATGGATAGTGTTACACTATATGAGGATTTTCAATCCACCCTTCGTATATGGATAGTGGTACATTTTATGAGGATTTTCAATCCATCCTTCGTATATGGATAGTGGTACACTATATGAGGGTTTTCAATCCACCCTTCGTATATGGATACTGGTACACTATATGAAGGTTTTCAATACATCCTTCGTATATGGATAGTGGTACACTATATGAAGGTTTTCAATCCATCCTTCGTATATGGATACTGGTACACTATATGAAGGTTTTCAATCCACCCTTCGTATATGGATAGTGGAACACTATATCAGGGTTTTCAATCCACCCTTCGTATATGGATAGTGGAACACTATATCAGGGTTTTCAATCCATCCTTCGGATATGGATAGTGGTACACTATATGAGGGTTTTCAATCCATCCTTCGTATATGGATAGTGGTACACTATATCAGGGTTTTCAATCCACCCTTCGTATATGGATAGAGGTACATTATATGAGGATTTTCAGTCCATCATTCGTATATGGATAGTGGTACACTATATGAGGATTTTCAATCCACCCTTCGTATATGGATAGTGAAATGCTATATATAGGTTTTCAATCCATCCTTCGTATATGGATAGTGAGACACGGTACGAGGGTTTTTAATCCAACCTTCGTATATGAATAGTGGTACACTATATGAGGGTTTTCAATCGATCCTTCGTATATGGATAGTGGAACACTATATCAGGCTTTTCAATCCATCCTTCGATTTGGATAGTGGTACACTATATGAGGGTTTTCAATCCACCCTTCGTATATGGATAGTGGTACATTATATCAGGGTTTTCAATCCATCCTTCGTATATGGATAGTGTTACACTATCTGAGGATTTTCAATCCACCCTTCGTATATGGATAGTGGTACATTATATGAGGATTTTCAATCCATCCTTCGTATATGGATAGTGGTACACTATATGAGGGTTTTCAATCCACCCTTCGTATATGGATAGTGAAATGCTATATATAGGTTTTCAATCCATCCTTCGTATATGGATAGTGAGACACGGTATGAGGGTTTTCAATCCACCCTTCGTATATGGATAGTGGTACACTATATAGAGGTTTTCAATCCACCCTTCGTATATGGATAGAGGAACACTATATGAGGGTTTTCAATCAACTCTTCGTATATGGATAGTGGTACACTTCATGAAGGTTTTCAATCCATCCTTCGTATATGGATAGTGGTACACTATATGAGGGTTTTCAATCCATCCTTCGTATATGGATACTGGTACACTATATGAAGGTTTTCAATCCATCCTTCGTATATGGATACTGGTACACTATATGAAGGTTTTCAATCCATCCTTCGTATATGGATAGTGGAACACTATATCAGGGTTTTCAATCCACCCTTCGTATATGGATAGTGGAACACTATATGAGGGTTTTCAATCCATCCTTCGAATATGGATAGTGGTTCACTATATGAGGGTTTTCAATCCACCCTTCGTATATTGATAGTGGTACACTATATGAGGGTTTTCAATCCATCCTTCGTATATGGATAGTGGAACACTATATCAGGGTTTTCTATCCACCCTTCGTATATGGATAGTGGTACACTATATGAGGGTTTTCAATCCATCCGTCTAAAATAGATAGTGGTACTCAGTATCAATATGAGGATGTTCCTATGTATCCGAGCGCAGTCAGTTGATCAAAACTACGAGGGGTGGCTGAAAAGTTCTGATCCCAACTACGAGGATGTATAGTTCACATATTGCGTGTAGAAGTACAATACAGGCCGCATTGGAAACACATACATAACCAGGCAGCATATTTCTGCAGTCGTCAAAGTGACATGGTATTCTCTGTCGATACAAATGGACAAATATGGCTACCGCGCTGCCATCAAGTTTCTCCAACAGAAACTTCAGTAGCCACCTATGCGGACATGGTGTCATCTTGTCCAGGGGGTGATACTCTTTCCCCCGCTGCTGTCGAGAGGTGGGCATAGGTATTCAAGACGGTAAGAGAGATGATCAGGAGGTACTGCCACCACTCAGAAAAATACGAAGGTAGGCAATTCTACCTTCTTCAACATTTCTACACATTGGTACACGTGTTGGAGCTTTTGTTCTACCTCATTGCCGTGTTTGACCTGGAACCACACGGCCTGGTGACTGTCTCCAACTTTGTCCTCAATGCCTGTACACTCATCACGTGCTACCACTAAGTGCCCGGTGTTCGTGGGGACGCTGAGATCCTCTTTGGCACACAGACAATCTATTGCCCCTGTAAATAATATAAGCACTGACATTAGTCTATCCCAGTTAAATAGCGGGGACTAAAATATTCTATATTGTACGAATTTACAGTTTTACATATTACACCACATTTCCGGGGATACTGAAGTCGGATAGAGCAAATACTATTAAGTATTCGATTATAACAAACAAGTTAAATGTCTTCTCGTTCGTAAGCGGTATTTTGATTTAGTACTCAGTTGACTGAAACTTCGACTAAGTTACATGTTGATCCCATGGTGTTCGTTATAACCGGATCTGATTGTGAAATTGTAGTTCTATACAGTTTTTATTTGTTTTCATAAATTTTGAATTTGTTTAGAGAGGCTGAGTAAATTAAATGAAAGCACGTGGCTTGAAACACACTGGGACACGTTTCCATGGCAACTATTTCTTAACTAATATTCTCAGTCACGATGTGTGCACATGACATGATAACGACCAACTCGTGTCAAAGCGTGCACATCACACTATTCCCTATTTGTATGGAACTGTTCACTACCGTCTGTATGCTTATCAAACGAGTGCACTAGGATCTATATGCCTACACGTGTATGCACTATCATCTATATAATTATTAACGTGTGCACTATCATCTATATATCTGTAAAAGTGTAACTATCATCTATATACCAAACTTAACCCCCCTGTACATAAGATGGACGTGTCCAACATTGCCGAGGTCGGATTGTATTCAGGGAGTCATCATTATTTACATACAGGTAACTGTTTTTATAACTTGTACATTTTATTGACATCCTTAAAAAGGCTGTACAAAATGTTGATATCTCATATAAGAAATAAACGACTCGTGGTCGTTGCTTATCGTACAGTAAAACTCTGCAAGAAGAATCAATATATTTCTATAATAAAAGTGTGCACTATTATCTAAACTGACGACCAAATAAAACTTTAATATAGTATTAAATCACTATAGTTTAAAAACTACAAATATAGATGCATGAGTGAGTGAGTATGGTTTTACGCCGCTTTTAGCAATGTTCCAGCAATATCACGGCGGGGGACACCAGATGTGGGCTTCACAAATTGTACCCATGTCAGGAATCGAACCCGGGTCTTCGGCGTGACGAGCGAACGCTTTAACCACCAGACTACCCGACCGCCCCCTATATATACAGATGCATGAAGTAAAATGTATCGAAAAGATCAAACTCTTCACAAAATCAAAATTTAAAATGACAGTCATACAGCATCCGTAATGGGATGTCCTCAGATCTTTGTTTAGCGGCAGCGAGAACTCAGATCTGATTTGAATGAGATTGGTTCACGGCCTGTCTGATATCTGCCCGGTCTTTCTATAACGTTGCATGAGGTAAGTAACATTAACACGTCAGCAAGCAAAAGTTTTTACAACGTGGGCATGGGGTATCATAGCCAGGGCCCGCTCGCGTTTTTCGGGTGTCATAGAGCATTGTTGTGTTTGGACGATGTGTTTTCCATTGATGTAGTTTGAACTTGTGTTTTTAAATCTTTGCAATTTCATCTATAAAGTGGTAAAGTTTCTTTCGGCCGTCAGGCTATATGCCTACGAACGTGTTGACTTTCATCTCTACAAGAAATACACTTCTCCTGGTAATTGTTTATGGCACAATGAGACACTTAAGGGAGAATAAATCACGAGAGTCGAAGCCCCGAGTGGCTTCTTCTACCTGCAGTGTTTTATTGTACGATAAATGAGTGAGTGAGTGAGTTGAGTTTAACGCCGCTTTTAACGGTATTCCAGTTATATCACGGCGTGTCAGCTTAATGTGGGAGGAAAGCCCGAAGTGATGCAGGTCTCAGACGTATACCACCTCGGTGACACCCACGAGCACAGGTATGGTGCTGACAAACCTAGAAACCTCATAGGTTTCTGGCGTGCTCAAGGGACGCAAATCTGCACAGCGAATTGCGGCGCCTTAGACGACTGGGCCACCCGTGCCCCCGTTCGATAAATGACCAGTAGTCCTTTATTCCTTATATAGATGAGATAGCAATTTTATTTACAGCCTCTTTAAGTAGGTTAATAGAATTTACAAGCTTTAACAATATTTACCCGTATTTTTTTAATTAAAACGTTTAGCTAAATGCGTATTAGCAAAAACCGTATTCCTAATGTTAAGTCAAATGAAAAGATTAACCTGTATTAACAAGGAGATGAAAAATAATATGTATGCTCTATGACATGACGTAATCCCGGTTACGTTAAGAATTACCAATGTGCCCCTACCTTTAATTTTCCGAATCCGCCTATTTTTATGGGATCACTGTAAGAATAAAATAAGTATATCTTGTACATAGTAACACTTACCTTGGGCAGGCAAAATGGCAAGAAGTAAGTTAATGACTATGAACATCGTAATAAACAATCTGTGGTATACAACTGTTGTATAAGTCATTCCGTGTCAACACACCCCGGATAACTTATCTTTATAACTTTATGTATCCATGTCTCGGACAGTCTTGTCTACTGCCCTCATTCGGCATATGTAGGAAGTATGTTTAGGCGTGGGTGTGGTAGAGACACTCGTGTACGTTATGAAGTTCAGAAACGGTTTTTGTCAGGCTCATCTGTTCCTTGACAGCCATGTTTTTCTTGAAATAGGTTGCGTTGGTAGTAATGTGACAAATCAATGGGGGTTATGTCGCACACATGGCATTAATCACAATATATAGAACTTGGATGAAAAGGTGCTTTAAATCATAGTCCCTCTTAGAAAGACTCTGGCTAGTTGGCAATCCAAGCAAGTCTCCTTCAAGTTATCCAAATACAGTCTGTTTGTCTTACCATATCAAGGTTATTGTTTTGTGACAATCTAAGATTAAATGAGTTTAAAAAGCAAACAATGACGTGTCGTTCTAGTTCTGGTTGTTACGTTCGTGCTCTGCAAAATCCACAGCTCAAGTCGTATGTATTGTGAGCGATTCGGTAGCCTATAGGTTACAGTGTTTGCTAATGAACCCATGCTCAAGAACCATGTTCGATTCCGGTGTCTCCCGCCGTGATCCGATGAAGCTGTAGAAGTGATGGTCAGAGGGACAACAATTTCCTTCCTGTCAGAATACCTTGTTCAAGTTAATATACTTTTGACAGCGTTTCGTTTGCAATATGAAAAGAATGTCTTGACAAGTCTGTTCGCAGATAAACATAAAAATAATGAATTATTAATCAAGAAGTGGATGATACACCAGTTTCCTCTCAACATGTATAAGAGGACCGTAGAAAGGTGTGAGAACAGATAATGGGTTAAGAATGTAGTTGAATTTCAATGATAAAATAAACTGACAACACGGTGTATGGAGTAAATCGAATATTCGTGTAAGCATACTATACCACCATTTAATCAATTTGTAACTAAAAACAGTTTTCAGAGTGTTTTTGTTCAGAAGTTGTTCTGGGCCTAAAACCAATCAAGTTTGGGCACCCAGCCACATATGGAACAGACTATATTCAATGTGTTATTCTGGGCGTTGTTGATGGGACCGATGCCCCCATAAATATGTAATTTCACTGCATTATAATCACTAGTATGAGCATGTTTGATCTTCTGGTAAGATTATATATTATAAGTCGATATTCTTGTTAAATCATAAAAACAATCCAAAATAATATGAAGAAATAATTTATTTATGAATAAATTAAAATGCTGAGAGGCTACCGTCCCAATATACTCGTAACCCCTTTATCACATATTTTACAATACTTAGGACAAAATTGTTGTGCGGATGCTTTGTCGCTACATATGTTGTTGCCGGCGTCCAGCCACTGGCAGTTGATGCCGTCCATGTCTCTACATGGAGAGGTAGTTGTAGGTAAGGCAGTAGTAGTGGATATATCTGAAGACAGAACATAACTTGTTAAGCTGCGATAGTGGCAGCAGAAATCATTTTAAGTAAGAAAGACATACTTCATTGTCTTTATACATAAGACTGCTTGTTTTCTGGATAAATGTTTAAGATCATCCATATATACTGTATATAATGTGCGTTCCTCTTTGCCCTAATCGGAGGGAACGGACGGTTGTTAAATATAGATAGATAAAATTTGGTTGAGGATTTGGTCTTACAAGTTCAAAACTGAATTTTGAGCCTTATCTATAAATGGATGTGCTGATAAACACACGGGGACATTAATGTTCTATATTTCTACGTAGTGGAACCAATGCTGGGTCGGGATTGAGAAGGGCGAGTCAAAAGAGCTGACAAGAAGGAAAATACGACGCTATAGACGACATAATTATCATGAAACGAGAAATTTGTTATTTTTTTAGATTGAAATATGTATTCAGGTCAGCCAATCAGTGGAAATAATAACTTTTGTTCATTTGTTTCAGTGGGGAGGTGGTTCAGGACCGCAGGGAGATGAGAAACAAAGATGCGAAAAAGACGAGCATATGTTCACATACACTTAATAGTGTATGTGACAGGCTCAGGCACAACTGTGGTGGCTAGTGCGAACATCAGGGTCAGCCAGGTCATAGCATACAGATGTCCACAAGTGGTCACCAAGTAAAATACTTACAATGGTCACCCCGACTGAATGGTCATCTTATCTTTGAGAATTGTTCAATAATACTTATATTATTCTAATTACGAGAATGTACTGCTACATAGAAAAACGGATTGGTATCAGTGTGTATTACTGGTGTTATCACCCGTATTCCTGCATCAGGAATTAAGCATGGTATGTAGCGGTCGGGTTAAAGAAGTAATATCAGTACTTATGTCTTTGCAATGCAAGATCGACATCATGCTGGTATCTGCTTGTATCCAGCCACTCTGAAAGAGAACACAATTTGTGTGTTACTTTCTATAATCTGAATTACTAGTCTTCATCCATGACAGGAGGATATGAGAGAGAGAGAGAGAGAGAGAGAGAGAGAGAGAGAGAGAGAGAGAGAGGGAGAGGGAGAGGGAGAGAGAGAGAGAGGGAGAGAGAGAGTAGAATAAAATATTTGTCTGATGTTTCGCTACAGATGTTTAGCAGAAAGGACCTACACCCAGAAGGAACTAGGATATCTAACGGCCACTTCCAGCAAATGCTCGAACTGTACATACCTGATTGTTATAGTTAACCATGTACCACACGCTTCCATCTGCCCCTTTAACGTCGTCAACAATTCCTGCACATTTGTCCTTTGGTAGCAATGGTGGGCCTTTGTCAAACGTAATTTGAAGTTCAACAGTTGCACATAAGCACTCCAATGAGCCTGCCAATGTAACACGAGTGAATGAGTATGTTTTTTCCGCCGCTTTTTGCAATACTCAAGTAGTATCACCTTGAACAACACCAGGAAATGGGCTTCACACATTACACTTGTCTGGAGAAAAATCCCCGAGTGCTAGTGCAATGAAGTATTTGTTCCAACGTTTACATTCTTCATTCCCACATCATTTAATCAACACAAAAGACAGAATAAGTAAATATGTACATAGCAATAAACACAGTTTTGATTAGAATGGTTCATAACTTCACCATAAATAAGCACACGTATGGCTGGAAATATGAAACTGAATGTTGATAAAAATCAATATATTGTATGGGCCGATGAAAACAACCCCGACGGGAAAAACAATTAAAAAAATTGCTGCTATCACCTTTGCATGACTAATTAATGTAACAGGTCTCTTAACACATTATGAATGCCAAATTGCATTGGTTCTTCTGTTCAGGGTCGGTACATGCATGTAATGGACAATAGTTTCCCTCACCCCTAGAAGTATTACTATAGATATTTTAAGAAAAAGTGACGGATAATTTATAATGTGAAACAAAGGTCTTATCTTGGTAGACACCACCTGTTGACCCAACTCACGCGTGGAATGGAGGTTCACTCACCTTGTACATACACAACGAGGACAGAAATGCAAACAAAGCTGACAGCCACAAACATCTCTGCTGACAGTGTGCTGCACTGATGTGGTCCGGATGCCGTCCAACCGCCCAACCGCCAAACAGGCTTGTTGAAGATCACAGAACGGGCAGTTTTACTTTCTTGATATGCCCTTGCTAAGCATAGTGTCCTGAAATGTGGTCAACGTTTGTTCATCCCAGTGATAAGGAAAACAAGCCCATAATCTGGCGTTAAAGTAACATTCCCAGTGTAATGTCAAAATAAACAGGATCTGCTTCATCCTATGCTCAATCTGTTCTCTCCTTTATTCAGTCTGTTCTCTCCTATATTCAGTCTGTTCTCTCCTATGCTCAGTCTCCTCTTATATTCAGTCTGTTCTCTCCTATGCTCAGTCTGTTCTCTCCTATATTCAGTCTGTTCTCTCCTATATTCAGTTTGTTCTCTCCTATGCTCAGTCTGTTTTCTCCTATATTCAGTCTGTTCTCTCCTAAATTCAGTCTGTTCTCTCCTATATTCAGTCTGTTCTCTCCTATATTCAGTCTGTTCTCTCCTATATTCAGTCTGTTCTCTCTGTTCTCTCCTATATTCAGTCTGTTCTCTCCTATATTCAGTCTGTTCTCTCCTATATTCAGTCTGTTTTCTCCTATATTCAGTCTGTTCTCTCCTATATTCAGTCTGTTCTCTCCTATATCCAGTCTGTTCTCTCCTATATTCAGTCTGTTCTCTCCTATATTCAGTTTGCTCTCTCTCCTATATTCAGTTTGTTCTCTCCTATATTCAGTTTGCTCTCTCTCCTATATTCAGTTTGTTCTCTCCTATTTTCAGTTTGCTCTCTCCCATAGTAAGTTTGTACTCTCCTATATTCAGTCTGTTCTCTCCTATGCTCAGTCTGTTCTCTCTTATATTCAGTCTGATCTCTACTATATTTAGTTTGTTCTCACTCTGCTCTCTCATATATGCAGTTTGTATTCTCCTTTATTCACTCTGTTTTCTCTTATATTCACTGTTCTCTCTTATATTCAGTGTGTTCTCTGCTGTATTTTTAAGTTTGTTCTCTCCCATATTAAGTTTGTATTCTCCTATATTCAGTCTGTTCTCTCCTATATTAAGTCTGTTCTCTCCTATATTCAGTTTGTTCTCTCTTATATCCACTCTGTTCTCTCATATATTCAGTCTGTTCTCTGCTATATTATTAAGTGTGTTCTCTCCCATATTAAGTTTGTTCTCTACTTGATGCAGTCTGTTCTCTCTTATATTCAGTTCGTTCTCTCCTATATTCAGTCTGTTCGCTTTTATATTCACTCTGTTCTCTCTTATACTCAGTTTGCTCTCTCTCCTATATTCAGTCTGTACTCTACTCCTACATTCAGTCTACAATCTACCCCTATATTCAGCCGACACTCTCCTCCTACATTCAGTCTGCACTCTCCTCCTACATTCAGTCTGTACTCTCCTCCTACATTCAGTCGACACTCTCCTCCTATATTCAGTCGACACTTTCTCCTACATTCAGTCTGCACTCTCCTCCTACATTCAGTCTGCACTCTCCTCCTACATTCAGTCT